AGTATGGAATGCTTTCCAGAAATTACAGAAAACCCTGCAATTTTCCCAACACGAAACCGACTGATTCGAAAACCAATTCGGGAAACTTCCAAGCCGGCACGCGTTAACGGCAACCGTAGCCGGCGAACATAGCCGTTTGTTATACGTCACAGATGTGACAACGAGAGTTCGCTACCTCGTCGACACTGGCGCAGAAGTTAGCGTTCTCCCAGCAAATCCTAACAATCGACTACACGAATCGACCCTAAACTTACAGGCGGCAAACGGAAAACCGATCGCTACGTATGGCAAAAGGTACGTTTACCTTAACGTGGGTTTACGCAAACCCATCCACTGGATTTTCGTTATTGCAGATGTTTCTATGCCAATCATTGGTATGGACCTTCTACAACACCACAATCTGATCATTGACACGCGCAAACGGAGGCTAGTAGACGGAAACACTAATTTGTCCGTTTGCGTAACTTCTTTTACTGGTTGTAGAGTATCCCCAGTCACAGTTAAACATATGATAGACCCACTCTATCAACCACTACTCGATAAGTACCCTGGGATACAACAAACTCAACCGAAACTACCGTGTGTAACCAGCAACGTTACACATCACATCACGACTACAGGACCACCTGTATTCTCTAAAACACGACGACTAGCTCCTGAAAAGCTAAGGTTAGCGAAAAACGAATTCGATCACATGATGGACTTAGGAATCATACGACCGTCAAGTAGCCCATATGCATCTCCGTTGCACATGGTCCCTAAAAAGGACAGCAACGATTGGCGTCCAACTGGTGACTATCGGCGATTGAACGCGAAAACCATTCCCTATAGTTACCCGTTGCCTCACATTCACGATTTGACAGCTACCTTGAAAGGTACAACTGTCTTTTCGAAAATCGACTTGGTTAAAGCGTATAACCAAATCCCTATAGCTACTGACGACATACCGAAAACAGCTATCATAACTCCTTTCGGACTTTATGAATTTTTGCGAATGCCTTTCGGTCTAAGGAATGCTGCTCAAACATTCCAAAGATTCATAGACGACGTTTTTCGAGGTTTCAACTTCGTACATGCGTATGTTGACGACTGTCTAATCGCAAGTCCGGACAGAGAAACACATCTCAAGCATCTGGATCTTGTTTTCGAACGATTTCAAAAACATGGCATAACTGTAAACTTTCAGAAATGCCAATTCGGAACCGACTCGTTAGACTTCCTAGGACACACTATCGATGCTCAAGGCATTCGACCTCTTAGGACCAAAGTGGCGGCCATTCTGGATTACCCAGAACCGACCACCGTCAAGCAATTACGCACGTCTAACGGCCTCGTAAGTTTCTATAGACGTTTCATACCGAAATGCGCATTACTCATGAAACCTCTGACCGACCAACTTCGTGGAAATGCGAAATCCATTAATTTGGACGACACCGCACGAAAAGCATTCTCCACAGTTAAGGAACTGATTGCTAAAGCAACAATGCTCGCACATCAGGACACCCGAACACCCATTAGCATCGCAGTAGACGCATCGGACTCGGCAGTCGGAGGAGTCTTACAACAATGGGTTAACAATTCCTGGCAACCCTTGGCATTTTTCTCTAGAAGGTTGCTAGACACCGGATCGAAGTACAGCACATTCGGTAGGGAACTCTTAGCTATGCATTGTGCTGTAAGACATTTTCAACACTACATCGAAGGCCGTGAATTCACTCTTTTCACGGACCATAAACCGCTCACTTTCTCGTTAAGCTCTCCTTCAGACAAGTACTCTCCCCGTGAGTTTCGACAACTGGACTACATTTCGCAGTTTACTTCAAACATTCAACACATCTCTGGAGCAAACAATGTAGTTGCGGACGCCTTATCTCGCATAACTTCCTTGAACAGTTTCCAAGTAATCGACCTTCTTAAACTCGCCCAGCTTCAAAAAGAAGACAGTGATCTTCAGCACGAGTTATCGTCCACAACACTTAAACTACGCATCAAACAGATGGGAACAGGTAACGAAACCTTACTTTGTGACACATCTACAGGTAGGGATCGCCCAATCGTGCCGAAACATTATCGACGCAATGTCTTCAACACATTGCACAAACGTTCGCATCCAGGTGTTCGTGCAACCATCAAGCTTATAGCAGAACGGTTTTGCTGGCCTGGAATGAATAAAGACGTGAGGGAGTGGGCACGCTCCTGTGTAAGCTGCCAAAAATCTAAGGTTATCAGACACAACAAATGTCCCTTAAGCTCGTTTAAAACTCCCGATGCTCGTTTCGACCATGTTCATCTGGATTTGGTAGGACCTTTACCAGATTCAAATGGATACTCTTACTTCTTAACCTGCGTAGACCGTTTCACGCGATGGCCAGAAGCAGTACATATCAAGGACATCACTGCTGAAACAGTGGCCCGCACATTCGTCGAACGATGGGTAGCAAACTTCGGCTGCCCTTTAACCATCACTACAGATCGCGGACGTCAGTTTGAATCTGATCTTTTCCGTCGTCTGACCACACATTTAGGAACCACTCGCTTCCGAACGACTGCCTACCACCCACAAACAAACGGGTTGGTAGAACGCTTTCACCGACAAATAAAAGCTTCACTATCAGCCGCAAACCTTTCATAGTGAACCGACGCTCTTCCACTCATCTTACTGTATATTCGCAATGCAGTGAAAGCCTACATTGAATACACTGCACCTAAATTCGTTTATGGAACGACACTTCAACTTCCAATAGAGTTCATGGATCCTTCATCTTATTCAATGAACATGGATCTAACCTCCTACACGAACAGGCTTACAAACGCAATGCGTTCAGTTAAACCTGCTTCCACTCGACCTCAATCAACTGATGTTTTCGTTCAACCTGACTTACGATATAGTACACACGTTTTCGTTCGTCGAGACTCGCATCGACGACCATTCGAATCAGCATACGAAGGACCCTTCAAAGTTCTTCAACGTGAATCTAAGTACTATATAGTCAATAAGAACGGAACCAACGATAGCATCAGCATCGATCGCCTAAAAGCAGCGTATTTAGAAGGAAATCCTATCTACGTGGATTTTCCTTCGGTACAATCGAACGACACGACTCCGACACTTATAATACCTCATCCGACAACCAACACACGATGATACTTCGACAGTATCCGAAAATAAACTTAAAACGACGCGTTCTGGAAAAAGGGTGAGATTTGCAGAACATTCAAACGACTATTGCACGTAAGGCACTTCTCAGCATTTTATATTATTTTTTTTTAAAAAACAATTTTAATATGCTCATATATTTTTATTTCTATTTAAAAAAAAACAAACAAAAAAACAAATTTTTTTTAACGCTATTACGTGTTCATGAGATTATTTTCCATTTTTTTTCCGCCGACATTGTGATTTTACGCACATACGAGTGTATTTTCGACATGCACTTACATTTTCTTTTTTCTTTTCCAGGACGGCTGGAAAAGAACGATGACGTTTATGAGGATCCGAAATTTTCATTGTACACTTTCTTTTTTTACTATGTTGTACCTCCGTCCCATATAATAGGGAAAGACGACCAGACGCCGCTAAATTTAGTAAGCTATCAGAAGATTGTTTACCAACGACAAACTCGTTGGGTTTAAACTTCTTGCTGCCCACGTCTTAGGGTCGTCACTGCCCCACTAGGGGGGGGAGTGATCTGTAGCGGTAAATAAATCCCCAAAATAAATAGCACTAAGTTTTCGACATTGGATGCTGACCATATGTTTTAGTGGACTCATCTAGCTGAAGGCGCTCGGTCAGGCATCCGCACCAGATCACGTGTGGTAACGCCGTGCTCAACATCAACCGCAATCGCTAGCCAGATGAGATCAGAGAATTCCGATATATTGGTAATCGCCAAATACACTCTTCCGATCTCCTCGACTCTGTCTTTTGATTTCTCTGGGCGGGAACGAGATATACTAGAAGGTGTTACTGGTAGAAGCGTTGTCAAACACTGAATACCTGTGACATCATTACGACCTTACCAAAACAACAGAAGTGGATGGCAACGAATTTCTCCGAAATTCTCACGGGAATAAGACGCTTTGCACCAATGTAACTTAAGTGCACATAGTTTGATGGTTCTCGGGACCAAAAGACTCACTGGGGATCTTCCTCGATTGAATTCTTTTCCTGGTCTCCATTATTGATCTTTAAGACAAAATAAGCTTAGCAACACTTATCTACACAGATGACGAGAAGAAACAGAAACCCATAAGAACTGCAGGGGACTTATTGAAAACCGAGGAAATATTAAAAAGAATGGGTGATTGTGCGGTGAACTGTGAATTAAAATTAAACCACTTAAAATATATAATTAATGACATTTGGACCCGACGAATACAAAATGTATACCGTGTGAGAAAATCCGCTCGTAGTTGTTCTCACAGAGCGCAACTCTACTAGAGGGATGCAGATTAAGGTTACGGTACACCGTTTGTTTCCAGACACGATATTTTTTAATTCTTAGCTATTTTTGACAATTTTCAGAACATACACTTGCTTGCATCCAGAAACGCTCAACATTGTTGCACCTCCGCTTCATACAAAGAATAAAAACCTATTGCAACATGTACACGGGTACGTCACAATGTTAGACATAAGATTTATAGTCAATTTTGACAAAGGTCAACACTGCTACTCAGTTTTCTCCTTGCTAAACTGAAGGAATACGCGAACTAACATGATGATTGGGTTATGCAAACTTGCCTTCCGAATAAATGCAACATACACAAGTCTCATCAAGGTAGATCAGGAGGTAATCCATGATGGATAACATATCTGGCGGCCAAAACACGGATAATATTGCTATTTTTTTAACCAGGGTTTAGTTATATCCGGAATCATCTCACAGCTGACATGACCACGACCATTAGGTAGATTGCTTTAAAGGAGACACTTATTTATACACAAAAAGAATTAACCTTCAACTTAGCACAACCATCAGGTAAAGCGCAAAAAGCTACCTTGACTGTTCACATTGGATAGTCCCGAAGACCTGAAATCGTATTGTAAAATCAAGAATTCAGAGTCAAGAAAACAATTTGTTTTCACAAATTAGTTAGAAAAGATATTAGGATTGTTGATTTAATATATATTCGACTTAATTCCTGTGGGCACAAGTTTTACAAGTTGACGAGGTTTTGAAACCAACAGTAACGAGTGAGTCTGAAATACGGTATTCGTTTAACTATGTAGTAACCATATCAACATGATCATAAGCGCGGTTATCCCAGTCATATGAAAGATGTTGCTTCCTAATGAGCGAATGACTATTAAAGAAAGGAAACATGACTATCTTTACGGTAACTAATGAAGCATTTATTTGGTATTCTTTCGTAGATCCCTTATACAGTCTTTCAAGTGCAGCTGACCATGAACGGGTTGCAACTAAAGATCATTTAGATGTGTCGAAAATGCAAAAATTGTTCTCCTTTCAGAATTTGTTCAGTGAAGTACCCATATATCGTCCTTATATATGGCGTCTAAATCCAAGTGATCCCGTACCTATGTTCATGTCTAGGTATTTTCACCCTGTAGATGTTTGCAAAAAGTTAATCCAAATGTAAGAATTTGAATCCTTTAATTCTCAAAGGAGTCAGCTTAAAAAAAACAAAGATCTAATGATTGGTCATGTGTTTGAGGGTATGGATCGGTCGAAATATTTCACCCATCATACCTTATCTCTTTGTCCATATGTGAGTTAAGTACGATTACGTTTATCGATTGCTTATATAATTGTCAATACACATACATGATGCGATTTTTTATCTAATGTCGTTTGATAGATGAGTTGTAATTTCACAAACTGCATTAAAACAAGAACAAGTTAGATGAGCAGTCATACGTGTTACCTTATGATTCGATCGAAAATTAAGATGGCTATACATGTAGTACACCAAACAACGCCATACCACGTCATGGAAATAGCAATAAACAAATGAGTAAGACAGCTCTTTGAAAAAGCTGAGTACCCTCATACTTACTTACGCCTGTTACTCCTCGTGAAGGAGCATAAGCCGCTCACCAGCATTCTCCATCCAACCCTGTCCTGGGCAATCCTTTCTAGCTCCGTCCAGTTGTAATTCATCGTTTTCATATCTGCTTCTATTATCCGACGCAATGTGTTCTTTGGCCTTCCTCTTTTTCGCTTCCCTTCAGGATTCCAAGTTAGGGCTTGCCTCGTGATGCAGTTTGATGATTTGCGTAATGTATGTCCTATCCATTTCCATCGTCTTTTCCTAATTTCTTCTTCAGCTGGAAGTTGGTTTGTTCTCTCCCACAGAAGGCTATTGCTGATTGTATCCGGCCAATGGATGTTGAGTATCTTGCGTAGACAGCTATTTATAAATACTTGTACTTTCTTGATTGTGGTTGTTGTAGTTCTCCAAGTTTCAGCTCCATACAGTAGAACTGCCTTGACGTTCGTATTGAAGATTCTCACTTTGATATTGGTTGAAAGTTGTTTTGAGTTCCATATGTTCTTCAATTGTAAGAATACGACCCTTGCTTTGCCGATCCTCGCCTTTACGTCTGCATCCGAACCTCCTTGTTCATCGATGATGCTTCCTAGGTATGTGAAGGACTCTACGTCTTCCAGAGTTTCACCATCAAGAGTGATTGGATTGCTGTTTTCCGTTTGAATTTGAGGACCTTGGTTTTCCCTTTGTGTATGCTGAGGCCTACTGATGCAGAGACTGCTGCCACACTGGCTGTCTTTGTCTGCATCTGTTCGTGTGTATGAGATAGGAGAGCTAGGTCATCTGCGAAGTCCAAATCTTCTAATTGGTTCTGAGCTGTCCATTGTATTCCGTGTTTTCCTTCAGATGTCGAGGTCCTCATAATCCAGTCGACCACCAGAAGAAAGAGGAAGGGAGAGAGTAAACAGCCTTGTCTGACGCCGGTCCTTACTTGGAATGCATCTGTCAGCTGTCCTCCGTGCACTACTTTGCACTGTAGTCCGTCGTATGAGTTCCCGATAATATTGACAATCTTCTCAGGAACTCCGTAGTGTCGAAGAAGTTTCCATAATGTCCTCCTATCTACACTGTCGAATACCTTTTCATAATCAATGAAGTTGATGTATAGTGATGAGTTCCACTCAACTGATTGTTCGACGATGATCCGTAGTGTTGCAATTTGGTCTGTGCACGACCGGTCCTCAGTTGTAAATATGCTGCTCTTGCTTTGCCGATCCGCGCCTTCACATCTGCATCAGATCCATTGATGAACAGGGTGGATCTGATGCAGATGTGAAGGCGCGGATCGGCAAAGCAAGAGCAGCATATTTACAACTGAGGAACATCTGGAGCTCAAAGCAACTGTCAACCAACACCAAGGTCAGGATTTTCAATACAAATGTGAAGACAGTTCTACTGTATGAGGCAGAAACCTGGAGAACTACAAAAGCCATCATCCAGAAAATACAGGTGTTTATCAACAATTGTCTACGCAAAATACTTCAGATCCATTGGCCGGACACTATTAGCAACAACGTACTGTGGGAGAAAACAAACCAGATCCCAGTGGAGGAAGAAATCAGGAAGAAGCGCTGGAAGTGGATAGGACACACATTGAGGAAAGCACCCAACTGCGTCACAAGACAAGCCCTCACATGGAATCCTGAAGGTCAAAGGAAAAGAGGAAGGCCAAAGAACACATTACGCCGAGAAATGGAGATAGACATGAGAAAAATGAACAAGAACTGGAAGGAACTAGAAAAGAAGGCCCAGGACAGAGTGGGTTGGAGAATGCTGGTCAGCGGCCTATGCTCCATTGGGAGTAACAGGCGTAAGTAAGTAAGTAAGTACGACCGATCCTTACGGAATCCAGCTTGTTGATCTCGAAGTTGGGCGTCTACTGCATCCTTCATCCGGTTCAGCAACACTCTGTTGAAGACTTTCCCTGGTATTGACAGTAGTGTAATGCCTCTGTAGTTTTCACATTTGCTCAGATCTCCTTTCTTTGGAATCTTGACGAGGTGTCCTTCTTTCCAGTCCATCGGCACTTGTTCCTCCTCCCAAATCTTTTTGAATAGAAGGTAAAGCATGCTTGTGGTTGCTTCGATGTCTGATTTCAGTGCTTCAGCTGGTATATTGTCGGGTTCTGCTGCTTTCCCGTTCTTGATTTGTCTGACGGCCATTCTAATTTCTTCCTTCGTTGGTGGGTTGACATCTATAGGAAGATCTATGTGCGCTGCTTCGATGTCCGGTGGATTCATTGGAGCCAGCCTATTCAGGAGTTCCTCGAAGTATTCTTCCCATCTGTTACGCTGTTGTTGAATTTCGGTGATTGGCTTGCCTTCTTTGTCTTTGACCGGCCTCTCTGGTTTACTGTATTTCCCTGCTAGTTTCTTCGTTGTATCGTGAAGCTGTTTCATATTTCCTTCCCTAGAGGCTTTTTCTGCCGTCGTTGCTAGTTCTTCCACGTATTTCTTCTTGTCGGCTCTAATGCTCCTCTTCACTTGTTTGTTTGCTTCTATGTATTCAGCTTGTGCTTGGACTTTCTCTGCTCGTGTTCGGCTGTTGTTTATTGCTGCCTTCTTGTTCTTCCTTTCTTTGATCTTGTCCAGTGTTTCTGTAGAGATTCATTCTTTATGATGGTGTTTCTTTAGGCCCAGAACCTCTTGACACGTTGAAGTCGATGTTTCTTTGATGCCTTTCCAGTTTTCCTCCATAGTAGTTTCTTCTTCCTTCAGTAGATCGTGTAAGGCTTGGAACTTGTTGTTGAGAGTTATCTTGAATTCGTTGAGTCTTTTAGTATCTCGAAGGAAGGCTGTATTGAACCTTTGTAGTGCTGTTTGTCCACTTGTCCAGTTCTTTTTTAGTTTCAGTTTTAAATTGGCTACAACTAGGTGGTGATCTGAAGCTACGTCAGCACCTCTCCTGGTTCTCACATCTTCCATTGTCCTTCGGAATTTTTTGTTGATGCAAATATGATCTATTTGGTTCTCTGTGATGTGGTCCGGTGAGATCCATGTAGCCTTGTGTATACGCTTGTGTGGAAATATTGTGCCTCCTATGACCAATTTGTTAAATGCACATAGATTTACAAATCTTTCTCCATTTTCGTTTCTTTCTCCCAGTCCATGTCGTCCCATAATATCTTCATATCCAGTGTTGTCTATTCCGAGTTTGGCATTTAGATCTCTCATCAGAATAGTTAGGTCCTTTCTTGGGCATTTCTCAATGATTGACTGTAGCCGCTCGTAGAACTGATCTTTAATGTCGTCGTTGCTATCATTAGTGGGTGCATAACATTGGGTAATATTCATTAAGATCCCCTCCTTTGTATTGAATGATGCTTTGATGATTCTGGATCCGTGAGATTCCCATCCTACAAGTGCACTTCATGCTACTTTGGACAGCATAAGAGCGACTCTCTGAGTGTGTGGAGCATTGTCCTCTTCGTGACCGGACTATAGCAGCATCTCTCCCGTAGCTAGCCTTTTCTGTCCAACTTGGGTCCAGTAGGTTTCGCTGATTCCCAGTACTGCTAAGTTGTATCTCCTCATTTCCATTGCTATTTGACTTGTCTTCCCGGTTTCCCACATTGTTCGAACGTTCCATGTACCTATAAAAACTTTTGCTCTGGTTGTTAGAAGGGGCATCGGCCTCGTGGCTTCCGAAGGAACTCGGCTTTCACTATGAAGCGTCATAATTCTTCTAAATGAAGATCTTCTAACTCCTAGGGCAGAGTTAAAATGGTTTGGATTATTTTTTCTGGTAAGCGTTTTTTTAGCGAGTTAGTTTTCTACGGGATGGGGACGCTAACCCCATGCCTAACCCTCCTCCTTTACCCGGGCTTGGGACCGGCAGTAACCGTATAAGCGCTACAGGCGGAGTTGAGTAACCTCATAGTTGACTAACATTTTTAGTCTTTAAAAGATACAACGGCGAGATTATAATTTATGGACGAACTAATCAGATTTAGGATAGCAGGTCTTGGATTTTAGCACGAAATTCATCCACTCATTTGGCTTAATACTATGACGGTAATACAGATGATGCCAGTTCGTGGTGAAAACCGTAAATCGAATTCCTAACCCTATCATCAACTGTAAATCATAATTATAATTCCTCACATAGCTTTATAACCCTCATTTAGTCCTAGTTTGCGGATGGATTTTTCAAGGTCGTTTTAAAATAAGTAAAAGAGCAGTTCCAGTTTGGGAAGGGTAGGAGGCTAGACGGTCTGTGCTAGTCCTGGAAATCATGGTCTCAGTTGGATCAACTTTCTTTTGAAAGAGTCGACAGATGGAGCTTCAACTGCATGTTGAGGTAATGAATTCTACTCATTGATGATTCAATGGGAAAGTCGATAGTCAGCTGACAGGTAATTTGTTCTGGGCTTGTGAGCTTTTTGGAGTGTCCTCGTGAATTCTCTGTTTTGAAAGATGAAAAATAAAGGCATATCAGATGCAAACTTGTCACTGAGTAATTTGAAAACCGTAATCAAGTCATTTCTAGCTCTTCGATACGGTAATGGGAATAGGTTTAGTTTAGCCAGTCGAACATGATACTGGAGCTTTGCTATTCCGGAAATCGGCTTAGTTGCTGTTATCCAAATCTTTTACAAAAGCTCATTGTCTTTTTTAAGTAGGGGCTATCCGCTTGTATGCAGTACTCAAGTTTAGGACTCACGAATACTGTATACCGAGTCAAAAACGTTTGAGCGTCGACATGACTATAAGACCTACGTATTGACCATAGGGTTCTAAAGCCTTTGGTGGCTATCGCAAAGCAGTTTGTAGTAGTTTTTAAGTCTTGGCTAACGATGACTCCTAAATCATTGTGTGTCTGGACAAGTATCTCGATGTTATTTATCATGTATGTATCTGTACCTCGATGGCCAATATGCATCACAATGCACCTGGAAGTATTTGTCGGTAACTGTCAAGTTTGAGACCATTCAGATAATTTCTCCAGGTCATTTTGAAGTCCGACGCTATCAACTAATTGTTTTCATCTGTATTTGTTCGTGTGTATGAGATAGAAGGGGTAGGTCGTGTGCGAAGTCCAAATCTTCTAATTGATTCCGAGCTGTCCATTGTATTCCGTGCTTCCCCTCAGATGTGGAGGTCTTCATAATCCAGTCGACCACTAGAAGAAAGAGGAAGAGGTAGAGTAAGCAGCCTTGTCTGACTCTGGTCCTCACACGGAATACGTGTGTCAGCTGTCCTCCATGCACGACTTTGCAGTGCGGGCCGTCTTGTGAATTCCGGATGACGTTGGTGATCTCAGTTACACCATAGTGTCGAACAAAGTTCTATGATGTTCTCCTATCCATATTGTCAAACGCCTTGTCATAGTCAAGGAAGTTGATGTGTAGTGACGAATGCCACTTAAGTGATTGTCCAGCGATGATCCGTAATATCGTGATTTGTTATGTGCACGACCGATCCCTACGGAATCCGGCCTGTTGATCACAAAGATGGGCATCTACTGAGTCTTTCATCTAGTTCAGCAACAATCTGTTGAAAACGTTTCCTGGTACCGATAGTAGTTTGATGCCTCTGTATATCTCACACTTGTTTAAATCTACTTTCTTTAGTATCTTGATGAGTTATCCTTTCCAGTCTGTTGGCATTTGTTTCCCCTCCCAAATCTTCCTGAATAGAGTGTGAAGCATTTTTGCAGTTACTTTTATGTTTGACCTCGTTACTTCAGCTGGTATGTTGTCAGGTCCTGCTGCTTTCCCACTCTTGCTTCGTCTGATGGCTATCGTGATTTCTCCCATCGTTGGTGGAGTGACATCTATAAGAAGGTTTGTGTGCTGCCCCGATGTTTGGTGGACTCAGTGGAGCTGGTGTATTCAACAGTTCCTCGAAGTATCCTACCCATCTGTTCCTCTGTTCTTGAGTTTCTGTGACTGGCTTGCCTTCTTTGTCCCTGACCAGTCTCTCTGGTTTATTATATTCCCCTGCTAGTTTCTTCGTTGTGTCACATAGCTGTCTCATATTTTCTTATCTTGAAGCTTTTTCCGCTGTCGTTGCTAGCTCTTCAACATATTTCTGCTTGTTGGCTATAATGCTTCTCTTCACTTGCTTGTTTGCTTCTGTATATCTAGCTTGTGCCTTGACTTTCTTCTTTCTTTTTCGGCTGTTGTTAACTGCTGTCTTTTTGTTTTTCCTTTCTTGAATCTTGTCCATGGCTTTCATAGAGATCCATTCCTTATGATGATGCTTGTTGTGGTCCAGCACCTCCTAACACGTTGAAGTTAATTCTTCTTTGATCCCTTTCCAGTTGTCCTCCATACTAGTTTCTTCTTTCAGTAGGTCCTATAAGGCTTGTAGTATGTTGTTGAGATTTATCTTGACTTCATTGAGTTTGTTAGTATGCCGAAGTAAGGCTGTATCGAACCTTTGTACTGCCGTTTCTCCGGTTGTCCAGTGTTTCTTTAGCTTCAGTTTCATCTTGGCCACAACCAGCTGGTGATCTGAATCTGTAACAAAATAAAAGGCAACAGTTTTTGAACTCCTTGCTTAACATGCATCTCTATCCCAGTTAAAGTTACAATACAAATTGTTCAACGACTTGTTTCAGCTGGCTCATCAGCATAGTCGATTGTTTAGTAAGATCATCCCGACAATACAGCAGAATAAATCAAAATCTGGCATAGAAAATGTTCTAATTCACTGACCACTCGCCTAAAACTTTTATTCTTGATTTGATCGCCTTCTGATATATCTATTTTAGCAAATATGAATCTACAGTGCTTGAATTATTTAACCAACGATTTATATTGTTCCCGATATTGCCAGTCCACAGGCTACAGTTCTACGCAAATATATTAAATGTTTAACGTTTCATTGCATCACTCTACAAGTTTATTAATAAAGTGTTGTACGCATCTTTGCAACATGTAAATAGTTCTCAGCAAAATGGGAAATTTTTTCACTTAAGCGCCCTAACTAAGCCATTTAAGCAGTTACGGACTCTAGTCAGTATTACATCGAGTGTAATAATTGGTCAAATAAATGTAGCTTCGCTGTTTACTGACACCCAAAACAGTACTCGTATGACATCCAAACGGGGAAAGCACATTTTTCAAGGATTGGTGGTTAAGATTTATTTATTTGTTTTGATGAGATTTCAGTAATATTTATCATAATGCAATTTTTTCATATATCAGCCTTCAGGAAATCCGAAAATTATGGATATTACGTTGGACTCTTTAGTAGGAAATCAAAATATCACCCAAATAGATCTAAGGCCGAAACGACCTGTCTATATATCACGTTATGTGCAGACAATGTATCGTGATTCAGAGGCGCAAACTGACCCATATTCTCCATTGTATGTTGTCAATACAAGGGAAAACCTTGAGACACTGAAATTAACTTCGTTGAGTTATGGATATGGACTTCCAGTCGGATTATTTGATGTTGAAAGAATTGAACGTGCAAGACGAAGACGAGAAATTGAAGCAAATTTACCGCCGTATAAAGATATTGCAAATAATCTGGTACAAATTGCCAAACGACGTAAAATTTTGGAAGGTTTGGAAAATCGCGAATGGTACTTCAGAGAAAGAGAGGTTGAAGCGTAAGTCAGTCAATTTATTATTACTAAGCTTTTCCAGTCATGTAATTTATGGACGAGGAATTCACTTTAAAAAGCAATTTTCGTTCCTGATAAGTAGAATCAAGGAAACAATGAAACTAGAAATTTGTAAAAGTTTGTTACACCGTTGTCCTGTACTTATCAAGAGCCCTAAGACGTAGGTGTGGTTTAAATCTCAGTTTATCCAACTTGGTGCTTGAGTCTGATTAGTTTTTACTTTCTTCAAATTGATTGAAGCTGAAACTTTGGTCACATATTTAGTACTTGGTACGAGGCATAAAGGTCTTGGCTTGAGTTGCCGTTAAGGCTGTAGATATTCATTATTGAACGCTCCCAAACTAGTCAAGATGCCACAGATATTCAGAGTTTGACAACGCCTTTACACATGACACCGTCCCAATTGAAGTATGCCAATCCAGTCAAACTAGAAATCAGAAATCAAGGTCAGCCAGTCAGTCAATAACACCATAGAACTCCGTACGTACATACGTCAATTTAAGTTGCCATACCACATTAGCACAGAGGTACAATTGTCTATTCAAATCACATGGTGGTAGAGGTGGTAAAAGTATAAGCAGTAATCGGATAGATTAGGGTTTGAAAATACTGTTCAATGAGTATAACCTAGTGAAAAAATTGGAAAGAGAAAAAAGGAAGGGAGATGAAAAATTCAGACAATTAGAATTTGCGAGAACATAAAAGTGGATGCACCTGCAACTTTGCAAACGATTTTGAGTCATTTCATTCAAGGTCTCTGACCGTTGGTTGCTATCATTTCGCGGATCCCAACCAGGTAGTCTACACCTACAGACACTGCTCAGTCCACTTGCCAATGACCTCATGGGTTTGTACCATGTTTCGGTCTGGCCACCCCTAGCTTTCTTCCAACCTACTCGTACACCATAAAACATCGCTCGTTCGGGCAATCGGTGGTTGTGTATACGTAACACACGTCTCAGCCATCTCAACTGATGAAGTTTCACTACTTCAATTGATTTGCCGTCCCTACCTAGCATCCGTTTCCTAACAACTACATTACTTACTTGGTGGTCCCAGGATAAATGAGCAATGCTTTGAAGACATCCATGATCGAATACTAGTAACATACCAATATCCTCTACTCTTACTGGCCGTGTTTCACTGCCATGAAGTAGGCCGGAACGAACTGCTGCGCAGTAAACACGTCCTTTGGTTGATAGACGGATATCTCGCCTACGCAATAAATGACGCAAGTTGGAGAAAGCCAGTCAAGCCTTCTGTATCCGTGCTGAGGTTTCGTCACACACTAGACCACAAGGGCTGACGAGACTCCGAAGATAAGTGAAGCGGTCGATACACTCAACTCCATCACTCCCCATCATTAGTTCAGGTGCCGATGCAACTCAACCCTGAAGTGACATGTTGCATTTCGAGGGGGAGAATCGCCTTCAGAACATGCTTGCATTGTTGCTTACGGTGGTCAGAAGACTGCATTTTGTCAGCGTCTTCACCAAATAGAACTCTATCATTGGCATACTCTAAGTCAACAAGTGAATCGCCCGGTAAAAGTTTATCTCCTGGAAATTTAGATGAAGAAAGCATTATCTCTAAAAGCACGTCAACAACAAAGTTAAGCAAAAATGGAGAGAGTTGACAGCCCTGAAGAACACTCGAGGTAATCAATTCTGATGACAGTTCGCTATAAGCTCTGACTCGACCAGTTGTGTAGGGAGAGAGAGAGAGCCTGTATAAGGTTAATGTATTTCCTTGGTACTCCTTTCAGTGACAAACACTGCCATATATCCTCACTATCAACAGAGTCAAATGCCGCCTTAAGGTCGAAAAGTACTATTATTGTGGGACGTCTGAATGTGTGTCTGTGTTCTAGGACCTGACGTAGTGTGAATATCTGGTTCACACAGCCACATCCAGGTCGAAAACCAGTCTGGTTTTCTCTAGTTCTGCTCTTCAAGAGCTTTAGTTAGGCGTCGACACATTATTGAAGCTAATGTTTTAGACACTATATTAGTCAAACTGATTCCTCTGTGATTGTAACAAGAGGACTTTTGCCCTTTCTTATAGACTGGCACAATCAGTGGTTGAGACCAGTCAGATGGGATTACATCCAGTTCCCAGATTCTGCCTAAGACCTCAGTCAATCTCGCTGCTAGTACTGGACTGCCATCCTTAAAAATCTCAAGGGTAAACCTGGCAGAACCTGTTGCTCTCCCACGCTTCAGATTTCCTATAGCTTTTTGGACCTTGTCAAGAGTTGGAGGACTTACATCAACTGGTCATTCAGGTCGACTGGAGATCGTGGGAAACCGAAGTGTGGTTGAAGGCCAGTTGAACTGATCCCTAAAGTGTTCTGCCCATCCATCCAATCTCCTGAATTGAGAATGAACAATATGTCCTTCTTTTTCTGAAATAGTTTCGCTAACAGTCGGTTTCCTAATATCGGTTTCCTTAACAAGTCTGAACAATTGTCTGCTATTACTTATTGCCTCTGCCTTTTCCGTCTCTCTTGCTTTCGCTACCCACCACTGTTCACGATCATTGCGTAGGCTCCTTATCAGCCTGCGCTTAAGCTGACTCCGCTCTTTGTCACGTTTAGAGCCAGATGGGATGAGTTTTCGAGCATCTATCACTGCGGTGGATGCTGCTCAGACCCAGTATTTTTCCCTAACCTTATGGTTTACTGTCCTAGCAGATATCAATGCTGTTTCCACAGCTTTTCGGATATCATTCCACGCTGCCTCGGGGTGGACATCACTTACATGGCTGCCTAACCGTGTTTTCTAGTTGTTCCTGAAATATATTCTTAGCTTAGCTATCATCGAGTAGAACCCTAAGAGGTTTCTTTGAATCGTCTTACCTACGTCCAGTGAGACGCAGACAAATACGCGCTCGCACTAGAGCACCATGTGAATCCAAGCATGTGCTCCACAACAAGCGTCAGTCTTCTATTGAGCCTCTCCATCGATGGCTGACAGCAATGTGATCTATTTAGGTCCAACGTTGGGACGAATTCGGGGGTCGCCATGTCAAAATATGTTTTTCCTTATGCTTAAAGTTAGTATTTGCAAGGAACAGGCGGTTATCTGAGCATAGCTGCATTAGACGATCGCGATTATCTGTTCTTTGAGCCACGACACCATAAGATCCACTCAGCTGTCCTTGATTTTCGATTAATTTATCTAAGTGTACATTGAAGTCACCAACCACCATTACTACATCAGGGCACCTAACGTTTTGAAGGTCAGAAAACTTTCTGTAAAACTCATCTCTCACCTCATTTGAGCTGGAGTCAGTGGGAGAGTAGACAGAGAGGACGGAGAGGCAACAACGAGTGTCCTTATCTTTCCGAGTCCTTAGTGTTCCGTTTAGTTGGACAGCACGCAAGCAACTGTCCACTGGGATCCAGTCTAAGAGCGTTAGTTCTGCCCTAGGACTCAATGCTAAGGGGTTCGCAGGTATAATTGAAAGGGCTATCGATACTTCGGGAAGCGCTTGAACTAAGATACCTAATTGTTGCAAGCGACGCGCAGCACAATATATTCGGTGCGGATGCGTGAGAAAGCGCCTTCATTCAAGTGCGCCAAGTCAAAATAATGGGATCAGCAATATTGTCGAAGACATACAGAACAATTTATTTTGCAAATCTTTTACCGCTACACTAGTAAGGAAAGTTGTTCGGTTCTCTGCATTGTCCAACGATTCTCCATTTGATACCAGCTTTCAACAATCCTTTTTAGTTGCTATTCATTCTTTTCATGTCTGCTTTCAATTCTCCGTGCAGCTTTCCTTTGGCCTTCATCTATGCAGGATTAATGCATTCTAATCACATCAATATAACGATGATGAATTTAAATAAGATGATTTACTTGATGCAAAAGATGACTGAAATCTTCTTGTTTTGTTAAAATGGTTAATTTTTCACGTTTTTTTTGAGCTTGTTCATCTTCTAACAGAGCATGCGTTGACCTTGACTCAGCAATTAATTCACTACGTTTTCGTTTACCCTCATACATTTGAGTCTGAATTGCACGCCCGCGAATTAATTGTTGCAACATAATTACAGCTACTTCTTGTCTTTCAGATTCTTCCTGAATTCAACAAATAAACAGTTGGATTAGTCTTAAAATAAAATAATTACAATGTATATCGAAAATGATTCTTTCAAAATTACAGTTAATTGAAATTAGAATCACATGTTTTATCACAAGTTAATTGAACTTAAAAAACTTGGAACACTAGATGTTGAGTATTTTGAAAAGTTACATTAAAACTTGACTTCTGTAAACAGATTCAGCGACTCAACTGCATCATATTATCCAAAAGATCTAACTTTACATGATTGAATCTCGTGAAAGAGTTAAACTTCTGCGCTAGAAAACAAGCGTCAAGGGACATTGTGCGAATTAGCGTTAAAACATTAACTTTTCGCATATTTTTATATACATACTTTACCTGCGTTGTTACACTTCAAGGAGGAATATAAGTTGCCCAACAACATTCTTCATTGAACTCTGTCCAGGACAATACTTTTCAGTTGTTTCCAGTTGCTATTCATCCTTTTCATGTCTCTTTCCAATTTTCCGTGCAGCTTTTCTTTGGCCTTCCTCTTTTCCGTTTCCCTTCATGATTCCAAGTTAGCGCTTGCTTCGCGATCCAGTTTGGTGACTTCTACAATGTATGACCTATCCACTTTCAGTGTGTTTTCTTGATTTCCTCTTCAACTAGAAGCTGGTTTGTTCTTTCCCACAGTAGGTCGTTGCTGATGGTATCCAACCAACGGACATTGACTAACTTGCGTAGACAAGTGACTATAAGTACTTGTGCTTTTTTGATGATGGCTGTCGTAGTTCTCCAAGTTTCAGCTTCGTTTAGTTGGACTGTCTTGACGTTCGTATTGAAGATTCTGATTTTGATATTGGCTGACAGTTGTCTTGAGTCCCACATGTTCTTCCATTATAGGGATGCGTTCGTTACTTTGCCAATCCTTGCCTTTACGTCTTCATCGGATCCTCCTTGTTCACTGATGAAGCTTCGCAGGTATGTGAAGTTTCCACCTCTTCCAGAGCTTCCCCATCAAGTGTGATTGAGTTGGCGTTCTCCGTGTTTCATTTAAGGATCATGCTTCTTCTCTTGTGTATGTTGAGACCTACTGATTCAGAGGCTGCAGCCATACTAGTTGTCTTCATCTGTATTTGTTCGTGTGTATGAGATAGAAGGGGTAGGTCGTGTGCGAAGTCCAAATCTTCTAATTGATTCCGAGCTGTCCATTGTATTCCGTGCTTCCCCTCAGATGTGGAGGTCTTCATAATCCAGTCGACCACTAGAAGAAAGAGGAAGGGGTTAGAGTAAGCAGCCTTGTCTGACTCTGGTCCTCACACGGAATACGTGTGTCAGCTGTCCTCCATGCACGACTTTGCAGTGCGGGCCGTCTTGTGAATTCCGGATGACGTTGGTGATCTCAGTTACACCATAGTGTCGAACAAAGTTCTATGATGTTCTCCTATCCATATTGTCAAACGCCTTGTCATAGTCAAGGAAGTTGATGTGTAGTGACGAGTTCCACTTAATTGACTATTCAACAGAAACTCCTGACACGTTGAAGTTCGTGCTTTTTCGATCGCTTTCTAGTTGTCCTCCATAGTAGTTTCTTCTTCTTTGAGGCTTCGAACGTGTTGCCGAGATCCATTCGTAATGCGTTGAGTTTTTCAGTATGTCGAGGGAAGGTTGTATTGTTGAATGCACATAGATTAGCGAATCTCTTACCGTCTTCGTCTCTTTCTCCCAGTCCATGTCGTTCCATTATGTAACTATACTCGGTGTTGTCCATTTCGACTTTGGCGTTTAGGTCTCCTATCGGTATGCTCAGTTCCTTTCCTGAGTACTTCGCTATGACCGATTGCAGCCTCTCGTAAAACTGATCGTTATCTTTGTCGTTTCTATCATTGGTGGATACACAACACTAGGTAACATGCATTGTGATTCCCTCCTTCTTTGTTTTGAGGGACGCCTTGATGATTCTGGATCCATGAGATTCCCATCCTACAAATGCTTTACGTGCTTCTTTGGACAGCATCAGAGCAACTTCCTGAGTGTGCGGAGCACTTTATTTTTCATGACCTGTGTACAGCAGCATTTCTCTCAAATCTAACCTTTTCTGTCCAGCATTGATCTAATGGGACAATGTGGGAGACCGGGAGGACCAGTCAAATAGCTACGGGAATGAGGAGTTGCAACATGGCGGTACCTATATTAGTTGTTCCCTTGGTTGTTAGAAGGGGCATTGGCATTGTGACTTCCGAAGAATCTCGGCTTTCACAACGAGACATCATAATTCTTCTGAATAAAGACCCTTCAACTTCCAGGACAGAGTTTAGATTGTTTAATTTGCTTATTTTGATTAGCGTTTTTTATTAAGGTTGTTTTCTACGGGATGGGATTGCTGACTTTATGCCCAAACCTCCTCTTCTTATTTATTTGTTTATTTAAACAGATAAACATTGGTACAAGGAGGCATCAAATAGGTTTGCGCCACATAAATCGCTCGATTTTTTGGGGGTTGGGATACTGTCCGGGTGCCTAGACCGAAACAGGTGGTTTTCTTAGTGGGCCACACCCGGAGCCTTTGACCTAAAGGTCTAACCCACAAGGCAGTGGAGTGACGTCAGGAGATGCAGTCGCATGGTAGCCGGTGACCAATAATTTGTTCATTCGCCATTTTTTCCTTCAGGATCCTAGAGCCCATATGCACCATTGGTTTGGAATCAGGGTTTTCCAACTCCGCTGGGTTGATCTTCCTTATCCACTAACCCAGGTAAAGCTCCGGGCATTCGCTTTTCACCCTCTCAATTTCGTAGACAACACCCCGTCCGCGGGAAGGCAGCGAGTAGAACTTCCCTGGCAGTGGCTGTGTACACGTGGCCATGTGAGAGCATTTCGTGAGGGAGAGCTGACTCTCCCCATTTTCGACCGTACCAGAGCATTTTGAGACTGTCTCCTCCTCTACCTGGGCTTGGGACCGGCAGTAACGTTAGAAGTGCTACCGGTGGAATTCCTTTGGCTTCAGCGTCGTATAAATTTCCTTTGAAAATCATCTTCAGCGGGAAGTTTTTTGGTAGCACGTAATCACAGTTGATTATCTGTTTAAGGAATAAGTTGGTTTTCGATTTGAATTCCTCTATAAATACATGATTACTGTTGTGCTTGGATATTACTTTGGGAATTGTACTCTTTTGAACGGCCAATGCACTACTTCACAAGATCAAGTAAGCTGAGGCAGTGCAAACCAGACACTTATACTTGACACTTTCCCGAATGATTTGCTTTCTGGATAAAAAGATCCGAGGCCCTGTTGAATAAAGGCCTTTCTCAGGGGACCGGACAGTCCGTTCTTCATTATCCATGCCATATCCCCACTGAATTCAATTTTCATATCTAAAAATTTCTTCGGAATTGTGAGAATGGGGTAAGATTACCTAACCCCCAACACAGTTAAGGAAAATGACATTTTTGAAAGCATTTTCTTAACTGAATTGTCCTTAAGTTTTCTTCAATGATAACGCATTTATTTATTTATTAGTCGAGTTTTCATACTTTCGTTGATTTTTCTCCTGTACAGAATGCAAGAAGTTCGACTAAATGTAATCGTTCAACTTTTGCGTAGACGTGAACAACGTAAACAAGAAGTCATATCTAGGCGATTAGATCAGAAATGGAGCGAAAGTTGTGCACAGAATGAGACAAAATGCAGAGCTATAAAATATCGTTATATTGGAGGTAATATTATAATGATTTATTTGAGACTAAAGTGCTACTAGTAACGAAGAATTCGTATCTTGTTAAATTAGGCGGTTTTGTGTATGTTTCTATATATTTTGAATAAATAAGGTGATATGATAAAGTTATTAACGTGTAGATCTAATACCAACTGGAAAACCATCGACAATCAGTGAGCCGTGGACATTCTCCAAGTTCGGGACTTGTCATTAGTATTCATACAGGAATCCAGACGGATTCGAAACCATGACCTTACCTTCGGACCTAGTGGAGAAAACAATACCTTTAGAAATTCTGGCAGATACCTGTGACATTTTATAGTTAATCCTATCAGGAGTGCGGTAGTTACACACCGATGATAATAAAACCTTGTCCCCTCATACCACTAAAAGTAAATGCGAATTACTACATCTCGGTTTGGTGATCGGACTGTATAATGTTCTTTTAGAAATATACAAGTCTTGAACCTATGTAACAACCACATAATTGCGTTCAAATTTTTCTTCCAGTTTATCCTTAGCTAACATACAACCTTTAGATCCATCCATGATAATATATTGCTCTATGGCTTCCTTAGCTTTCCTTGTGCAGAAATGAATAAAGTTGACAAGATCAGTTTTATTATCACTTGTCATTTACTCAAAAAATTTCTGAAATTCGTATAAAGTTTGATACTCATTTGGTTTATCATGATCCTTGTTCACCTCTAGCTTAAGTAGTTTTAATTGATGCTCGATGTAATCCCCTACTGTGTCTGATGTATGTTCACGAATCATTACAGTTAAATTGTCCTCATCGGGCTATAAATTTTTCGCGATGGAGTCTTTTCAAAGTGACTAGTTTCTCAATTTCCTCTACTGTCAGCTTGTTAACTTTACTTTTAACGTTTCTAAGGCAGATATAGTTAGTGGCTATCAATGGAATGAAGAATGTGCATTTCATCCTATTTGGGACTTATAATCTAGATACTAGTTACTCAATGGCAATATCTATGGTGCACAATTTGTGTGGATGTATTTATTCTAGGGCTAAATATTTACCAAGTACTTAAATAAAAAAAATCATTCATATTTCACAGTACTTGTCTGTTGCTGAAACTCTGAATTTCCTCACTTAAACGTTAAAATTTTTTAAACTATTAAGTACTAGGATTCATTATGTTGTATATAGGTAAATATTTTCAACTGTTTTGAGTTTGTTGTTTTTCATATACACCTCGCTGGAAAGCAGCACTTTTTAGTGGAGACACACACTGCTTCCAGCTTAAACATCCATCGATTATTTATTAGACAGTTTTATGATTGTTTTATTGTATTTTTTACATTGACTTAGTCGTAAGGCATATTTCATCTCGTGAGTTGTTAGCTTATTGTTTACCATTTATTAATTACAGTCAATTAACTAGAAATTTCAGCTTCTCATCAAAAGTTCCCTCGTTGTGTAATTATTGAAACTCGCTAGTGGTGGTTCGTTGTGTTCTTATATTTTCCTACTAATAAACACATGAGTTAAAAGTCTAAATAGTAAAAAGTACTTGTGACTACTCAGATGTATTACTGGCATTCTCACTAGAGGTTTAATAAAGTGGGAATCCGAGGCTCCCATTTGGTCATGTGATGAACACATTGGATCTTCTATTGTCAGTATAGGATCGAGCATTTAAAAAAAACTTGAACTGATATACTTCTTCACTCTTCTGTCTGTTAAATAACAGTATTTACTGTAAGCTTCGGCAGCGAAAATAGATGTAACGGCAACCACAATAAATAATACTAATCCACATAACTCCAGCTCACAAGTTCAAATTAAAAGACTAAGAAATACAAAGAACTTTTTCTCTCAGTGTGGTGATTTACACAACTGGCAGTCACATGCATTCAATATGAGTTGTGTTTTTTTAGACAGTTGGTTTTGAATAGCATTAAAATGACTGGTTTAAATTTGTTGCTCACATCTCCCCACTCATTATTGAACAAATCGTCATGACTTCCCTGTTTTTCACTCAAATATGTCGCCCAATAATATTAATCCTTTTAAAAGTGATACAATCGGCTAAGATTGTTTTAGGATGGATATAAAAATCAACAATTTATGGGATGATTATCTTTTCAATGGCAATGAACTCAGGTAATTACGTTTTCACTAGTTTGGATTTAAGTTCCAACCTGGTTTTAACCTCAGAATTCTGTAATCTTTATATGTATGAGTGGAGAACAGTGTGCACCTGAACATATTGAGCACTCATTTCGCTACCAATTAAAAAAACCCACTATTTTCCATTACTTATGGTCATATCCTAGAAATGTATTATTAGGGTTAAAGAAAAAAACCACAGTCGCTTGAATATCGGCCGATCTCACATAGAAATACCTTAACTAAAACGACATAATATTAACATTATCATACTTATTCTGATTTTGATTATACTCAAAATACCCTACTTTATTCCATTTGTACTATTTAAACTTAGGTAAATTTAGTTCTTTTGTTATTTCTCTGAATAAGAAAAATAAACTAGGTTGTATGACGTTGCAAATTCAATTTTCTACTCATTGAGATTTTATAAATATATAAATCGACCGACCACTGAGTAGTTACCAATGCCACTTTTGTAATTCCACCGATTAAGTGGTAATATGGCCATTAGTCTAAGTGGTTCAACACTGGACGACACACCATAAAATATCGGTCCAGGATTTTTTGCCGATTGCCTCCAACCATCTGATATAATATAGTGTGCACGATATCAACAGCCTAGAGTCCTTATTGTTCCTTTTCCCTGCCTAGCTTTGACTGTTAAATCCAGAACACCAGTATCAGCTTCCACTATTACTTACTTACTTACGCCTGTTACTGCCAATGGAGCATAGGCCGCCGACCAGCATTCTCCAACCAACTCTGTCCTGGGCCTGCTTTTCTAGTTCCATCCAATTATTGTTCATTTTTCTAGTGTCTGTCTCCATTTCCCGGCGTAATGTGTTCTTTGATCTTCCTCTTGTCCTTCGGCCTTGAGGATTCCATGTGAGGGCTTGTCTTATGATGCAGTTGGGTGCTTTCCTCAATGTGTGTCCTATCCATTTCCAGCGCTTCTTCCTTATTTCTTCCTCCGCTAGGATCTGGTTTGCTTTCTCCCATAGTAGGTTGTTGTTAATAGTGTCCGGCCAACGGATCCGAAGTATTACGCGTAGACAGCCGGTAGTAAACACTTGTATCGTCTGGATGGTGGTTTCCGTAGTTCTCCAAGTTTCCGCTCCATACAGTAGAACCGTCTTGACATTTGTATTGAAAATTCTGACTTTGTTGTCGGTTGACAATTGTTTCGAGTTCAAGATTTTCTTCGGTTGTAAATATGCTGCTCTTGTTTGCCGATTCGCGCCTTCACATCTGCATCAGATTCACCGTGTTCATCAATGATACTGGCCAGATATGTAAAGGTTTTGACATCTTCTAAGGCTTCTCCGTCAGGTGTGATCTGATTGGTGCATGCTGTGTTGTATCGGAGAATCTTGCTTTTCCCTTTGTGTATGTTGAGACCTACTGCTGCTGAGGCTGTTGCTACATTGGTCGTTTTCTCCTGCATTTGTTGTTGCGATTGCGATAGGAGGGCCAGATAATCTGCGAAGTCTAGATCGTCCAAATGCAACCTAGATGTCCACTGTATCCCGCGTTTCTCTTCAGATGTTGACGTTTTCATGATCCAGTCGATCACCAGGAGAGAGAGAAAAGGTGAGAGTAAGCAACCTTACCTGACACCGGTCTTTACCTCGAACGAGTTTGTCAATTGTCCTCCATGCACAATTTTGCAGTTTAATCCATCATAGAAATTCCGTATGATAGTGACTATCTTCTGAGGCACGCCGTAGTATCAAAGATGCTTCCGTAGTGTTGTTCTGTCCACGTTATCAAATGCTTCCTCGTAGTCAATGAAGTTGATGTAGAGTGATGAATTCCATCCAATCGATTGTTCCACAATGATCCGTAGAGTTGCGATTTGATCTGTACACGATCGATCCTTACGGAATCCTGCCTGTTGGTCTCGAAGTTGGGCATCTACGGAGTCCTTCATTCTGTTTAACAACACCCTGTTGAAGACTTTTCCTGGTATTGAGAGAAGAGTGATACCTCTGTAGTTCTCACACTTGCTGAGATCGCATTCCTTTGGTATCTTGTTCAGAAGTCTTTCTTTCCAGTCTGTTGGCACTTTTCCTCCATCCCAAATCTTGCTGAAAAGAAAGTGGAGTATCCTTGCAGTTACCGCTACGTCTGCTTTCAGTGCCTCTTCTGGAATGTTGTCCGGTCCTGCTGCTTTGCCACTCTTGATTTGTCTGATGGCCATACTAGTCTCATCAATTGTTGGTGGGCCAACATTGATTGGGAGGTCGGTGGGTGCTGCTTCGATGTTGGGTGGGTTTAGTAAAGCTGGTCGATTCAAGAGTTCTTTGAAGTGTTCTACCCACCTGTTTCGATGTTGGTGATTACTTTACCCTCTTTTCTTTCCACTGGTCGTTCTGGTTTACGGTAATTTCCAAATAGTTTCTTTGTTGTGTCATGCAGTTGTCTCATGTTTCCCCCTCTTGCAGCTTTTTCCGCCGTCATTGCTAAGTCCTCCACATATTTACGTTTGTCAGTTCTGATGCTCCTTTTCACTGGCTTGTTTACTTCTGTGTATTCAGATTGTGCCTTGGCTTTTTCTGCTCTTGTTCGGCTGTTATTGATTGCTGCCTTCTTGTTCCTCCTTTCTTGAATCCTATCCAGTGTATCAACAGTGATCCATTCCTTGTGGTGGTGCTTCTTGTGGCCCAGAACCTCATGACATGCTGAAGTGATTGCCTCTTTGATCCCCCTCCAGTTGCTCTTCATAGTAGTTCCCTCTCCATTGAGTAGATCGTGAAAGGCCTGGAACCTATTACTGAGGGCTATCTTGAATTCACTGAGTTTGTCAGTATCCCGAAGAAAGGCCGCATTAAACTTTTATGCTGTTGTCCTCCCCATTGTCCGGTACTTCTTGAATTTCAATTTCATCTTGACGACCAGCAAGTGATGATCTAATGCTATATCAGCTCCTCTCTTGGTTATCACATCCTCCATTGTCCTCCTGAACTTATTGTTGATGCAGATATGGTCGATTTGGTTTTGCGTAGTGTGATCCGGTGAAGTCCATGTGATTTTGTGAATGCGTTTATATGGGAATATAGTGCCGCCTATGACCAGTTTATTGGAGGCATATAGGCTTGCAAATCTCTCACCATCTTCGTCCCTTTCTCCCAGTCCGTGTCGTCCCATGATGTCTTCATATCCGGTGTTGTCCATTCCAACCTTGACATTTAAATCTCTCACCAGAATGTTCAGGTCTTTTGTTGGGCACTTCTCGACGATTGACTGCAGCCTATTGTAGAATTGATCTTTAGCATCTTCACTGTATTCGTTGGTAGGCGCAAAGCATTGGATGGCGTTCATTGAAATGCCCTATTTCTTTGTGTTGAAGGAGGCTTTGATGATCCTTGGTCCATGAGATTCCCATCCTATAAGTGCATTTTGTGCTTGTTTGGGCAACAATAATGCAACTCCTTGTGTATGTGGGGCATTTTCTTCTTCATGGCCAGAGTATAACAGAAGCTCCCCTGAAGCTAGTCGTTGTTGTCCAACTTGCGTCAAATATGTTTCACTGATGCCCAGCACCTCTAGGTTGTATCTCCTCATTTCTGCAGCAATTTGGAAGGCTCTCCCACATTGTACGAGCATTTCATGTACCTAAATTAATGGTTGCTCTGGTTGTCAGAAGAGCATCAGCCTCGTGACTTCCGAAGGAACTCGGCTTTCACCATGATGCGTCCCAACTCTTCTAAATGAAGACCTTCTGACTCCTAGGGCAGAGTTTAATTGGTTTGAATAATTTTTTCTGGTTAGCGTTATTTTAGCGAGTTAGTTTTCTACGGGATGGGGCCGCTAACCCTCCTCCTTTATCCGGGCTTGGGACCGGCAGTAGTTCCAGAGGGGCTTCACGTGGAGCTTCCACTACATGTATCATATATTTCAAACATACTTGGTTTATATACAAGCCAACCAGACCACACCGTACTATAAAATAGAAAATAACATTTGCACAAGATCAAGCCAAAATGTGGCTGTGATCGTGACTGTAATCAATAAACTGAGTATAATTTAAGAAGAGTAAATTGTGTAATAATAGTCTATAAGTTAAAATAAAGCTTATAATAAGAAGAAAAGAGATATATATAATCTAGTTACTGAATAGTTATACAATGAGAATATGTATAATGTTAGTCCATTAATATTCCTCAGAAGTTACTCGTAATTTAATCTTCACTATGATATGACGGTTACCAACAGGAGATAATAGATGGTTGCAAAATGTCGCGGATTGAGTGAGGTTAAACATGTTCATCATTGGATCCAACTCATTAATCTAGAGAATGAAGGCCTTCCGTGGGGCCGATGGTCCTGGGTTCGATCCTCAGTGAGGTCGTGAATGTGGGCTGCTGAGGGGTTCCATGATAGGAAGAAACAAATTTCCCATGTTTACCGTTTTCAAATGAATGTCTAACTTAGGTCACTTTGTGATATCAAAAACATGGAATTAATTAACACTCAGTAAAAGTTCAGTGTGAAAATCTAAGTTCTGTAGTTCAGTTGATTCTCGAATACCTCAGTGTTAATGTATCTAATCTTGACAGTCAATAATGCCTCTTCAAGTATTACATAAAACATCAATTCCCATATGACGACTAAATTTATGTCTTCAAGATGAGTGCTAGCTTGCACAACGCCTAGATCTAGCTTTGACTGGCAATTATGATCGCAAAAGTGATAAAGAAATAAACTTGTTACCATAATACTTCTCCGAGTCCAGAGAGAAATTAGATATACAAATGGTTTGATTTTCTCACCAGAGTGATTGTATTTAAAAACGCCCCTTAATTAGAAGTTTTTAAGTAATTTACTAATCTGATAATAACTTTCATTACGTATGGGCTTCAACTAGAAACTTACTGACGCTTCTATCTGGTTTAACAATCGTCAACGGTTCGCAGGAATGAAATGCTTTACATTTTTTTATTTCAGTCAGTTTTCTACTTATGAAGATTGCAGTATTTTAACAGTTGAATTCACGCGTCGAACTAAGCTAGACCACTATTAGAAACCTGGAAGCACTGGACGGTCGTTTCGTCCTAGTATGAGACTCTTCATTAGTACATGCGGGACTCGGACCAGCCTACGGGGTTATGGGTGCTCACTGTTGAGGAGTCTCGCAGTAGGACGAAACGGCCGTCCAGTGCTTCAAGGTTTCCAATGATGGTCTAGCTTAGATCGACTCGTGAATTCAACGGTTTTCTATCTGTCATGACCGCTATCCAATATCATATTTTAGCTATTACCACACTTCCAAATTAGTTAGGTTGCAGCTATGGAAAATCTGTTTAAAAGTTGATTACCAAATGAACAATTCTAATGGTTTTTGAAGTCATTTTTCGATTTAGGATAATATTAGTTTGGTGCAGGATTATAGTTGTTCACTAATGAAAGACCCTAAACCATGACCAGGCAACTGTTCAATGCTTCTTCTTTCTTAATGGTTGTTAACTGACGTCAGTTTGTAATAAATTATAGTATATCACTATTCGTTTTGTGACGATCACCGTTATGGTTTATGGATAAATAAGAATTTTCATTCTCCTTTGTGTCTTTCCTTCTTTGTATCTACTGCAGAGTTACGCAAATTATTGAAACTTCGGTTAGCTGCTAAAGAATATAAATTTAAACGTGATATGATAATGGATTATGCTAAACCATCATCTCAAGTTTTTGCTCCACTCACGCGACTTGGTGTATTTCCAGATCGTAGTTCTGAACGTTATGTTGTAAAAAATATATATTCATCGCGTTATGAAGGTAATTCAATGGTACATTTACGTATTTAGAAAATACACTGTAGCTTAAACCGTAAATCATTTTTTTCCAGTAATGCATTCTTAAGGTACCAGAAGGATAACTTAAACCCGAGAGCAAGGAAGTTGTTATTTGATTCATGAATCACAATGTTGTGATAATTATCGCGTATTTTTTATACTTGGAAACTAGATCAGTGCTTGAGTTCTCAAGTCAGTAATATTGGTTATATATGTGCGTCATTTGTAGTTTCTTTGTATTGTCGTGTTTCTAAGACATGGCATAAATATGCATCTACCCAAATATGCATACAATATAAAGACAGTCAAATGAAACTAATAAGACTGATAGCATGGCATTCAAAATAATGGTAGGATTACGTGATAGTAAAAGGAATTAGATGTAACTAAAAGAATTATGAAAGACTTCATTATGGATTTAGAAATGTAAAATTCTTTGTGAAGATGGATCTGTGGGGAAGGAGTTATTAAATATAAAAAAGATTTTTTTGAATTTTTCCATCGACTGGTTTGAAAAAATAGGGTTTGGAACTGAAGATATTGTACTTTTTTAACCATTTAGTAAGGTTGTATTAAATAGCAGATACATCCAGCTGACGAGTCCCAAATAAGACGATATTCACATTGTGGATTTCATTCCCAGCTATATTCCACTTATATAAACTTATACACTGATTATATCGAAGCAATATACGCAGGATATACACGCACCAACCAGGACTGATCGAATTTCAGTCAAGAAATATGAAAAATGGGATAATCCGAACCATCATAAATTAAATTATAAAGTAAGATGTAGGAGAACGTGGTAAGTTTCACTATGGTACGCCAAATATATTTGTATTTACTCAGTTCTTTTATGCTCTACGAACTTGTGATTAGATACTTATTCATGTTGTATGTAGCTGATGCGAATTTTATAAAACTGATACTCTGGACCAACAAGATATAGGTTAAAATGTAAGCGCACGTTACTGACTAAGATTTGACTTCGTTTTCTAAGGCGGGATACGACATCAGTTGAGAGTGTTTCTTCATCTAAGTAGAAGTGATGTACGTGTATATTCTCAATTCGGTTTCAGTCAATACATTTTCCTTCTCACCCTCGGTCTTCTGACTCAAGTAGCTGGTTGGGTTTGTTTATAGGAAGCTTATGTATCAGTATCAGGTCTGGATGACCGTATGACATAACAACGACAAAACGGATTCAGTATATTTTTACAAACGTTTACTCTACTCACATTGTTTTGAACAGTTACATAAGCAGAAGCTATTTCAATTATCAACAGAAACAAAATGAACGAGGTTATGTTGCTTGTTTTTTGTTCAATAAATCATAGTTCAAATCAGTCTCTTAACCAAGACTTTACATATTGCGTTTTAGCTAGATTATAACTTTGATTATGTAAGGTTTTCTTTTTGAAGTTTTCTGGTAAGCTTTAATTCTTAAATGGCTCAGTTTGGTGTCATTGTGTCCCTTAAGTTGAGTAATTTATTAATTAAGCTTTCTGGAGAACATTATTGGTGGCAATTCCTGATATAAATGAAAGTAGAGAATTTCTATTTGTAGTAGATTTGTCCAGAATTGAAATAAAAGATTTGGTATTAAGCCTTTCAAATCATAGAATTCAACACTAGTAAATCCATATACATGCTCTGCGACTTTTATCTATTAATTTTATCTTGATTATACTACAGCAATATATAGTAACATTCCTATAGAGCTGATATTGTGGCAGTTAATCAATCCTACTGACACATTGTTCAGAAGAAAAATTCTTTCTTATGGTATGGGCCAACTCAAAATACATAAGACTATACAAACATTAGTCTTGAAGGAAATAACAACAAAGACTTAAGCAGAATAACATGATTTCCTTTTATTTCGTTTAGTTCTCGTGATATGCTTGTGATAGGCATAATCTAAAAATCATAATTACAAAATGGGTTTAAATTATCCATACAAAAGAGTTTAGTTGAAAGTTAATATGATCACATATCAGTACAGTATATCAAAGGTGTAAATAAATTTAAAACACTAAATAAAATGTAAATATATATCTTATGTATAAGAACATTCTATAAAATCGATAGCAGTAAAAGTTCAGAAGACCAGTAACAAGTGGCAACGTAATGAATAAAGGCTGATAATAATTAAGAATAAAATGAGTGAAGCTCATTTAGTTAAAGTAAGATTTATAATTTAGAAGACAGTCGAATTAAAGAGACCTATTGATGTAGTTAATTGAAGAAAGAATTGAGCAAAGTTTTACTGTGTAACGAGGGAATGTTTTTCCCCAGGGCAAAGGAAGGCTCAGTATGAAACAAAGTATTTAAAAAAAACAATCAAAGGTCGACAAGTACTACTTTCGTGTTATCACCAATTCACATGTACCTGCCAAAGCAATCACATTGGCCGAACAGAAAAGAGAACTTATCTTAGATTTTTTTGAACATGTTCCAAAACGCCTTCGAATAAGAGAAAGGACTATTTTAAATATTGTAATCACGAAACATCTTTTGAACGGGAACATTAGATCAATACCTCGAAATCTTGTAGGATGATTAATAAAAAGCCAAACTTCAGTCTTCTGAAGTTTGCTAAAGCCATCACTTTCAGTCATCAGAGATCAGATTTATGTGTTCAAAAGGAGTTATCTGTTGATCTTTCCTTGCATTGATGACAAACATTCCTTCATTACACCGTAAAACCTTGCTCAATTCTTTCTTCAATTAATTACATCAATATGTATTTATTTCGACCGTCTTCTAGATTATAAATTTTATTTTAACTAACTGAGCTTCACTCATTTTATTCTTAATTATTATCAGCTTTTATTCATTATGTAGCCACTTGTTTCTAGTTCACTGGACTTTTGCCTCAAGATGATAAAGGGAGCTATGTTTATGTAAACAACAATTCTTTGTTGTGTCGATTTGAAGAATGATAGCTTCGATTAATACACACTTGTAATGATTTTTACGTTGTTTATTAACGTCTAAATAACACATAATAAATGCCAAACTATAATCCCATTTGAAAAAGCTTCATATCCATTCATCCATTCAGTATTTTTGTCACCTTTTTCAGGTCTACTTACTTTAGAAGCCAGATTGCCTCGATTTGCATTCCAACCAAGAATTAGATTACAACAACCGAAACTACACACAAAAGATGGATTTTTAAAACGTAAATATCGCCATCAAAAAGAATTAGCTGAATTACACGATGTATGTCTCTTTACTTGTGTAAAAATTGTTTAACTATAGAAAAGATTTCTTTCATGGTACATAAAAGTTATTCATTTTTACCTGGTATACATTCTTTTAAATTCATATTATCTTTTTGAAAGAAAACACGGTGTAGATAAACGATTGCTGAATTAACTGATTGTTTTCGTCATTGACTGGCATAAACCATTGTGAATTGTTGTGAACTAAGGAGGACTGGTTATCCACTTTATCTTAGTGTACAACTTGTCATCAGCACACACCTACAATCATGCACGATTAAACTGATGGCCTTAGAATTTCATGGAGAAAATGATATTGCTAAGAGGTTCGAGTGAAAACCTGCAACCTGTTAAAACAATCAAGTCAGAAGCGTAGCAGCTCTACCTTAATAATTTTAAGTGGTGATTACGCAATTTTTTAAATCAATTGCTATTGTAAACGTTAACCATTGGATACCAGATACTATGTATCAATAAGATAACAATTTTTTCAGGATCTGAAGCTTTCGGATTCTATCTCCTTTGACGTTGAGATTTCTCAAACTAGGAAATAACATTTGTCGATTAGTCTGCGGTTTTCACTGGTGTTAAAGGGGATACATCAGACGATAGCAAAAACCACATTCATACAAAACACTTAATTCGTCATATTTATAATATCAATGCAGGAAAATTATGATGTTAAATATGATAATAAATTTTTGACGAATAATAATCACATTTAAAAATTATTTTGGCATACAACTCTTTACTTATTCTAAATAGTACTAGCTCAATTGATTCATCTAACGTGAAAATAGAAATGATATAGAATTTTGATTGAACAACTATGATGTAAGTGAAGAGTGTACTCTTGAAATCTAATGCATTTCATCTTGATACCAGACACTGCTCAAACTACTCATTATTGTTTTCATAGACTTTCACAAAATATTTATTTCCTATCAGTTTTCTCACTTTACAAACAACAGCGATCAGAAGTTATTTCATAGTGAGAGCATTTTCACTGACTGGGATATAATGTTGGCTATTTAAAAATTTTCGATTCGAATACAGCGTACTGAGAATTATATTACTTTTTTCTCAGAAATACACATGGGAGTTTTCCATGTTGGGAGGCATAGGATAACTTACCTGTAAATAAATAAATAAATAAATAAATAAATAAATATATATATATATATATATATATATATATATATATATATATATATATATATATATATATATAATATTAAGTTGGATATTAACCGACAAATGATATTTATGTATTATTATTAGTAGACGGATTCAATACCTAAGCGATTGAGATACATCTTTTAAAATGAACAGGTGCTCAACCCCGTAAGTTATTTTGACCCACCAACAGTGAACCTAATTCCTAAAGTGCCCTAACGTATAAACTGTATTCGGCATTCACCGTTTACTTATTCCTGTAAACGCTTTTGAATAAGCATAGGTCGCCCAACAACATTCTTCATTGAACTCTGTCCAGGACAATACTTTTCAGTTGTTTCCAGTTGCTACTCATCCTTTTCATGTCTCTTTCCAATTTTCCGTGCAGCTTTTCTTTGGCCTTCCTCTTTTCCGTTTCCCTTCATGATTCCAAGTTAGCGCTTGCTTCGCGATCCAGTTTGGTGACTTCTACAATGTATGACCTATCCACTTTCAGTGTGTTTTCTTGATTTCCTCTTCAACTAGAAGCTGGTTCGTTCTTTCCCACAGTAGGTCGTTGCTGATGGTATCCAACCAACGGACATTGACTAACTTGCGTAGACAAGTGACTATAAGTACTTGTGCTTTTTTGATGATGGCTGTCGTAGTTCTCCAAGTTTCAGCTTCGTTTAGTTGGACTGTCTTGACGTTCGTATTGAAGATTCTGATTTTGATATTGGCTGACAGTTGTCTTGAGTCCCACATGTTCTTCCATTATAGGGATGCGTTCGTTATTTTGCCAATCCTTGCCTTTACGTCTTCATCGGATCCTCCTTGTTCACTGATGAAGCTTCGCAGGTATGTGAAGTTTCCACCTCTTCCAGAGCTTCCCCATCAAGTGTGATTGAGTTGGCGTTCTCCGTGTTTCATTTAAGGATCATGCTTCTTCTCTTGTGTATGTTGAGACCTACTGATTCAGAGGCTGCAGCCATACTAGTTGTCTTCATCTGTATTTGTTCGTGTGTATGAGATAGAAGGGGTAGGTCGTGTGCGAAGTCCAAATCTTCTAATTGATTCCGAGCTGTCCATTGTATTCCGTGCTTCCCCTCAGATGTGGAGGTCTTCATAATCCAGTCGACCACTAGAAGAAAGAGGAAGGGGTTAGAGTAAGCAGCCTTGTCTGACTCTGGTCCTCACACGGAATACGTGTGTCAGCTGTCCTCCATGCACGACTTTGCAGTGCGGGCCGTCTTGTGAATTCCGGATGACGTTGGTGATCTCAGTTACACCATAGTGTCGAACAAAGTTCTATGATGTTCTCCTATCCATATTGTCAAACGCCTTGTCATAGTCAAGGAAGTTGATGTGTAGTGACGAGTTCCACTTAATTGACTATTCAACAGAAACTCCTGACACGTTGAAGTTCGTGCTTTTTCGATCGCTTTCTAGTTGTCCTCCATAGTAGTTTCTTCTTCTTTGAGGCTTCGAACGTGTTGCCGAGATCCATTCGTAATGCGTTGAGTTTTTCAGTATGTCGAGGGAAGGTTGTATTGTTGAATGCACATAGATTAGCGAATCTCTTACCGTCTTCGTCTCTTTCTCCCAGTCCATGTCGTTCCATTATGTAACTATACTCGGTGTTGTCCATTTCGACTTTGGCGTTTAGGTCTCCTATCGGTATGCTCAGTTCCTTTCCTGAGTACTTCGCTATGACCGATTGCAGCCTCTCGTAAAACTGATCGTTATCTTTGTCGTTTCTATCATTGGTGGATACACAACACTAGGTAACATGCATTGTGATTCCCTCCTTCTTTGTTTTGAGGGACGCCTTGATGATTCTGGATCCATGAGATTCCCATCCTACAAATGCTTTACGTGCTTCTTTGGACAGCATCAGAGCAACTTCCTGAGTGTGCGGAGCACTTTATTTTTCATGACCTGTGTACAGCAGCATTTCTCTCAAATCTAACCTTTTCTGTCCAGCATTGATCTAATGGGACAATGTGGGAGACCGGGAGGACCAGTCAAATAGCTACGGGAATGAGGAGTTGCAACATGGCGGTACCTATATTAGTTGTTCCCTTGGTTGTTAGAAGGGGCATTGGCATTGTGACTTCCGAAGAATCTCGGCTTTCACAACGAGACATCATAATTCTTCTGAATAAAGACCCTTCAACTTCCAGGACAGAGTTTAGATTGTTTAATTTGCTTATTTTGATTAGCGTTTTTTATTAAGGTTGTTTTCTACGGGATGGGATTGCTGACTTTATGCCCAAACCTCCTCTTCTTATTTATTTGTTTATTTAAACAGATAAACATTGGTACAAGGAGGCATCAAATAGGTTTGCGCCACATAAATCGCTCGATTTTTTGGGGGTTGGGATACTGTCCGGGTGCCTAGACCGAAACAGGTGGTTTTCTTAGTGGGCCACACCCGGAGCCTTTGACCTAAAGGTCTAACCCACAAGGCAGTGGAGTGACGTCAGGAGATGCAGTCGCATGGTAGCCGGTGACCAATAATTTGTTCATTCGCCATTTTTTCCTTCAGGATCCTAGAGCCCATATGCACCATTGGTTTGGAATCAGGGTTTTCCAACTCCGCTGGGTTGATCTTCCTTATCCACTAACCCAGTTAAAGCTCCGGGCATTCGCTTTTCACCCTCTCAATTTCGTAGACAACACCCCGTCCGCGGGAAGGCAGCGAGTAGAACTTCCCTGGCAGTGGCTGTGTACACGTGGCCATGTGAGAGCATTTCGTGAGGGAGAGCTGACTCTCCCCATTTTCGACCGTACCAGAGCATTTTGAGACTGTCTCCTCCTCTACCTGGGCTTGGGATCGGCAGTAACCTTAGAAGAGTCACTGGCGGAGTTTTGCTTTAAATGTATCCTTATAAATTAGTGTATTTCAACTTTGCTAGGATTTAAATATTCATTTAAGTTGAAATCAATACGGAAATCTTGTTTTTAATATTCAGTCATATTTAGTGGAAGATCTTTGATTTTTCGTGACCTATTACGCTCCGTCTTGTATGTTTCTGTTGGTTATATGAAATTTTCAGTAATCACTACGTTTGCTTCAATGTGTCGTGTTGCATTGTCAGCAAAGTTTGTGGTAAATTCAATGAATCATTATTTTGTTCTTCAACTCCGTTATTTTCATCTCATTGTTCTAATGAGGTATGGGAACTGGAATACATGCTGTGTTGATGAGTTCTGTTTGTCTATTAACATACACCCTTTGTATCTAATCACTTTAACTAATTGAAACGTTTATTATTTATGCAAATTAAAAAGTAACATTGGTCAACTGATTAATTTTTTCGTTTCCAAACAATTACATGCACAGTATTTGCAAAAACCCTCAGTAAGTGAACGAAATACCGCTCTAAGAAAACCACGATTTTTACAAAAGATTGAAAAACCTATGCCACGTCCAATAACCTCAGATTATATAACAATAAAAAGTGTAAGTTTAGTTTAAAGCACTTTTTTGTTGTTTTTTTCATTATTGCTAACTGAGGTAGTGGTCGATTGGAATAAAGGTAAGAGCGAGTATCAGTAATACAAAATCTTTCACTCTTGACGTAGGCCATGTAAAGATGCTGAGACCCTTTTGTTGAGATACACGCGATGTTCGTAATAAATGGTAAGGGAAACCAATATGACATACCCAAAAATTTATCACATTTTCTGCCGAATCTTCAGTCCCTTTATTGTGCGAATTAATTTCCTGTTTTCAAACCATATTCTTTATGTTTAATCAGTCTTACAATCATAGACATTTGTATTCCTTCAACCTCTGTTAAATATCTTGTCAATTTCACTTTATTATACTGAAACGAATTGTATCAACCTGAGTGTCGCTAAGTGATCATACTTTTTTCTCTGACAAAGTTAACTGCGTATTACTTATCTTCCCGAAATGCTCAAGATATTGATTTCAACTCAACTTGTGATTGTAATATCCCTCATTCTAAAAACATATAATGCATGTTTCATTATCAAAGAACGGGTTGATTCCGATTGTAGATTCACCGCTCCTTGGGCTAAAATACTCATGAGCGAATATCCCAGCTTCATTGTCAAGGTTTTTGTTGGTCCAAATTAACAGGAAAGTAAAGTAGGAGTATGCTTCATATACACTAACAAGGTGAATGTATGTAAGTGACTTGTGTCGATGTTCGTGGTCTACTTGAGTTGGATGGAAATAGTGTAGCCTCCTAGCTTACGTCAAAGTCACGCCTCGTGGTCGGTATCTAATCTAGCTTATCCAATCGGGATAACCAGGTGAGTTCCTTTCTTGGTGAATGTCTAGAGTAAAATCCTATTTTAACAGCGGCAGATTAGAGAAGTGTAAAGTGGGGTCACTGCTACATGGGCTAGTCGCGCTAGTAGTCCTTGACCTCAACGATATTCAATAAACCGTTGGACGTTTAGTGATCTCTGATCTAATGTAGAAACTGTTCTACTTGATGGATGCTTCAGCTAGAGGTCACTAACCTTACAAATAGCCCAGGCCTTGCCATCGTCGTTGTTTCGTTGATCAGCACGTAGTTTGTTCAATCTTCGGTTATTGTATTTGTTCATGACAGTTTTCTCGAGACTTATAGAATTGTTTTGTTGCTACCTAATCATTTCTTTTGTCGGGTCAATTAAATTCGCACTGTTTAGGTATATACGATGTTCTTTGATCGGTCTTCGAATTCTACTTTTAATTAAAGGCATTTTTCCAAACTTTTATTATTAATAAGGTTTCATCTGATGAGCTCTGCAATTTTCGACATTTTTGATAGTTTTTCTTACTAATTTAAATATACACTCATTCATTCGTTTTTTACTGATTTGTCTGTTTCAAGTAATAAAAGTTATACATCGTGATTTATATAAAATAATGTATTCTATAAACCTATTATCCTACATATCGAATTGTGTAACATTATTCGCTACTTGACACTGTTGTTTATGGTTTAATGTTAGATTCGATAGTGAATTCTTCCAGTTGGAAATAGGAATGTTATTTTAACATTTCAAACGTTTCAGTAGGTAACCTGTCGAGAAAGTTTTTCAAATAAATCCTAATGTTTAATAATCAAACTACTTGCGGTAGCTGTACGTAATATATTCAAATACTAAGCATAAGTGATAACTGGAAACAAACTTAAATCGTATGCGATACCACCTTGTGATCAAAAGCTTTATTGATTTGTCCATCAGGCTGCAGAACATTGACTAAGTTGTCATAATGTTAAGACTGAAATATTATTTCGTTAGTAAACCGAATACACTCATTAAGATATTAAATAAGAAAGATTAGTTCAGCGAAGAGTTCTCTTTTCGGCGAATTCATTTTCAAAGCTGTACAATCGCAAATATGTATACTTATTTTTACAGGATGATAATAATACTGATAATAAACTTCTGTTAGAAATGGTGACAGTGAGGTTAAATAAACAAATGTATTTAAAAAAATTTTAAATAAGGAGAATTTAATAGTTGTTTGATGGCTTAAGTATTCATCAAAAGATAGATAGGGAAATTATCATTGGGAAAGGATGGCTCAGCATGACAAGATTAAGTGTTGAAATTCAGATTAAATGTAATCAGAATGATTGTGGAAACAAATAATTGAGACGGGGCACAAAATTAACATTAATGCAGCATTTAGAACGTTGTATAGAAAAATAAACTAGTTGGGGGTAGAAGATTTAAGAGGAAGATGGAAGATGAAGCACATGACTGTAAAGGAAGAAGAGTATGAAAAAGAGAAAAAAATCATAAGACATTACGACCATGGTAGAAGAAGAGATTATACCAGTCTCTATTGCACACACAACTCTGACTTTTCCAGGGATATGGTTAATGCTTCGGAAATGCAAAGAAGATGTAGTCTAATTGTATTTGAAAGACTTCTACTTACCTTGTAGATGAGTTTAAACGTAGAGTCTGTCTTGATTGAATGACCTGTGTTCACAAGCTGTTCGAATATTGAACTTCTTATTGATAAGAAAATTCTGTACGTAACTCCAAATACGTAGTCTTGTAAGGAAAGCTATAAATTCTCTTCGGAATTGACTTCATACTAAGTTTATGTTATGATAATGGAGTAAATGCCGTTTTAAGTCATTAAACCGCTGCTCTTCTGACCAAGATTCTGTGTTACTGTAGTTTGTGATGGCTCTTGAGTTACTAATTTGAGTGTACATTGTAGCGAATGTTGATAATTATTAATAAATTTATACATGTATGAGTGAATTGCTTGTTGTTTTATTCATTAAATCAAATCGACAGTAACTGAGGATGCAAAATTCTTTTAAAACTAGCAATTATAGTTTCATTTTTCAAAGTCATAAATAGAGTAAGTTTCTACAAAACCAATATAAGAAAAACTCTGCCTGTAGCTATTCTAAGGTTACTGCCAGTTCCAAGCCCAGGTAGCGGAGGAGGTTTGGGCATAAAGTCAGCAATCCCATCCCGTAGAAAACAACCTTAATAAAAAACGCTAATCAAAATAAGCAAATTAAACAATCTAAACTCTGTCCTGGAAGTTGAAGGGTCTTTATTCAGAAGAATTATGATGTCTCGTTGTGAAAGCCGAGATTCTTCGGAAGTCACAATGCCAATGCCCCTTCTAACAACCAAGGGAACAACTAATATAGGTACCGCCATGTTGCAACTCCTCATTCCCGTAGCTATTTGACTGGTCCTCCCGGTCTCCCACATTGTCCCATTAGATCAATGCTGGACAGAAAAGGTTAGATTTGAGAGAAATGCTGCTGTACACAGGTCATGAAAAATAAAGTGCTCCGCACACTCAGGAAGTTGCTCTGATGCTGTCCAAAGAAGCACGTAAAGCATTTGTAGGATGGGAATCTCATGGATCCAGAATCATCAAGGCGTCCCTCAAAACAAAGAAGGAGGGAATCACAATGCATGTTACCTAGTGTTGTGTATCCACCAATGATAGAAACGACAAAGATAACGATCAGTTTTACGAGAGGCTGCAATCGGTCATAGCGAAGTACTCAGGAAAGGAACTGAGCATACCGATAGGAGACCTAAACGCCAAAGTCGAAATGGACAACACCGAGTATAGTTACATAATGGAACGACATGGACTGGGAGAAAGAGACGAAGACGGTAAGAGATTCGCTAATCTATGTGCATTCAACAATACAACCTTCCCTCGACATACTGAAAAACTCAACGCATTACGAATGGATCTCGGCAACACGTTCGAAGCCTCAAAGAAGAAGAAACTACTATGGAGGACAACTAGAAAGCGATCGAAAAAGCACGAACTTCAACGTGTCAGGAGTTTCTGTTGAATAGTCAATTAAGTGGAACTCGTCACTACACATCAACTTCCTTGACTATGACAAGGCGTTTGACAATATGGATAGGAGAACATCATAGAACTTTGTTCGACACTATGGTGTAACTGAGATCACCAACGTCATCCGGAATTCACAAGACGGCCCGCACTACAAAGTCGTGCATGGAGGACAGCTGACACACGTATTCCGTGTGAGGACCAGAGTCAGACAAGGCTGCTTACTCTAACCCCTTCCTCTTTCTTCTAGTGGTCGACTGGATTATGAAGACCTCCACATCTGAGGGGAAGCACGGAATACAATGGACAGCTCGGAATCAATTAGAAGATTTGGACTTCGCACACGACCTACCCCTTCTATCTCATACACACGAACAAATACAGATGAAGACAACTAGTATGGCTGCAGCCTCTGAATCAGTAGGTCTCAACATACACAAGAGAAGAAGCATGATCCTTAAATGAAACACGGAGAACGCCAACTCAATCACACTTGATGGGGAAGCTCTGGAAGAGGTGGAAACTTCACATACCTGCGAAGCTTCATCAGTGAACAAGGAGGATCCGATGAAGACGTAAAGGCAAGGATTGGCAAAGTAACGAACGCATCCCTATAATGGAAGAACATGTGGGACTCAAGACAACTGTCAGCCAATATCAAAATCAGAATCTTCAATACGAACGTCAAGACAGTCCAACTAAACGAAGCTGAAACTTGGAGAACTACGACAGCCATCATCAAAAAAGCACAAGTACTTATAGTCACTTGTCTACGCAAGTTAGTCAATGTCCGTTGGTTGGATACCATCAGCAACGACCTACTGTGGGAAAGAACAAACCAGCTTCTAGTTGAAGAGGAAATCAAGAAAACACACTGAAAGTGGATAGGTCATACATTGTAGAAGTCACCAAACTGGATCGCGAAGCAAGCGCTAACTTGGAATCATGAAGGGAAACGGAAAAGAGGAAGGCCAAAGAAAAGCTGCACGGAAAATTGGAAAGAGACATGAAAAGGATGAATAGCAACTGGAAACAACTGAAAAGTATTGTCCTGGACAGAGTTCAATGAAGAATGTTGTTGGGCAACTTATATTCCTCCTTGAAGTGTAACAACGCAGGTAAAGTATGTATATAAAAATATGCGAAAAGTTAATGTTTTAACGCTAATTCGCACAATGTCCCTTGACGCTTGTTTTCTAGCGCAGAAGTTTAACTCTTTCACGAGATTCAATCATGTAAAGTTAGATCTTTTGGATAATATGATGCAGTTGAGTCGCTGAATCTGTTTACAGAAGTCAAGTTTTAATGTAACTTTTCAAAATACTCAACATCTAGTGTTCCAAGTTTTTTAAGTTCAATTAACTTGTGATAAAACATGTGATTCTAATTTCAATTAACTGTAATTTTGAAAGAATCATTTTCGATATACATTGTAATTATTTTATTTTAAGACTAATCCAACTGTTTATTTGTTGAATTCAGGAAGAATCTGAAAGACAAGAAGTAGCTGTAATTATGTTGCAACAATTAATTCGCGGGCGTGCAATTCAGACTCAAATGTATGAGGGTAAACGAAAACGTAGTGAATTAATTGCTGAGTCAAGGTCAACGCATGCTCTGTTAGAAGATGAACAAGCTCAAAAAAAACGTGAAAAATTAACCATTTTAACAAAACAAGAAGATTTCAGTCATCTTTTGCATCAAGTAAATCATCTTATTTAAATTCATCATCGTTATATTGATGTGATTTGAATGCATTAATCCATCATTTCTACCATACCATTTCATTTCACAGTTGATTATCTAAAAACACGCGTTCTACAGTGAATTGTTCTTTGAATGACCTTAAATCTTATTTCCGTACTTTTCTCGTATGGTAAACAACGACTCGGTGGACTCTAGTGCGAATGACACATAAGGTTGACATGTAATCACATTATCATGTCTATTAGTTATAGATGCTTAATTGTATGATAGGGTAAATATGTGTTCACAAAGTCATTTACCGATTAATTCGTGTTAAACACCACTGAATGCAAACTATACAAATCTGACTGGATCAGTCACATATAATGTGATGTATTCATAAGTCATTTTGATCTTTTTTCTCGGTCAAATAAATCCATACCAGCAGTCTTTGTGTTTTCACTGCACATCACTAGATTTACGGTTTTCAGCACCAAGCACAAATCAGTTAACTATTCATTGGAACAAAAATGCTGAGGTTAGTGTTCCTTTAAATCTGCTTTTCAAGTGACTATTATGTGTTGTTCTACAAAAATCATAATATGTTTTCACTGATCCCACGCTTGACTCACGTTTCAAGAAAGGTGTTTAATTTATTTACAAAATATATCAGAAATATTCACTTTATATAGTTACCACATACAAAAAATGTTTTCTACAGTGTGACTGTTATGTACAACGAAATGACAATTTTATGATGAAGCGAATCGGAAAAAACCACTTAATCATCAAAAAAAGTAATATTAAAGCATACAGCAAAAAAAGCCAGAATCAGTCTCGTCCCGTTTGTTGAGAATACAATGGGGACTTCTAGCAATGTCGTCTCTGTTTTCAATTTCTAGTCATGTCAGTTGATTTTTAATACCGCAAAGTTTTACAATCCAAGGGGTTGTGACGTGCCCATTAGACGCTAAAAATCTCTCACAGTGATATTTCGAATGGTTCAACTCTTCGTTATTTCTATTTAACCCCATCATCATAGGATGAAGCTTGTCATAAAAACCAATAAGACAACTTTTAAAGACATCAGTGAACTTCTGAATTCGACTTTTCAAGGTTTTATCTGTTATAAAATGATGGTTTACACTGTTTGAATACAAGATATCAGGTCTCATCATTACTCACATTTTGTAACCACTAAACCCATGTTATCCTTATTGATCAACAAGTTAACGAAAAGATTAAATTAGTCGTAATCTTTACTGTCTGTCTATCATGACTTAATTAAATTTAGGAATGCACAGCATCAAATGTCATCTCTGTGATCAACAGCTCGCTTCGACCTTTAAAGTCCCCCTGGGTTTGGTCATTAGCAGGGTAGTGAATATGCAATACCAAGAAATTCCTTACTAAATAGAAATGGCCGTCCAATGCTTCCTCATTTTTAGTAACTATTAGCTAACTTCACCTCACTAAGGGAACTATGTAAATTCATATTTAAAAATATCAATTAAAACCAACCGAATGTGAGTAATGACTAGATTTTTTATGTAATCAAGTGAATTTCTTGCATAAGACGTTTTCGGCCATCTGTCTGAGTGTAACTTATTTATATTGATTTAAAACTGAGGTGTTATATATGACAAACTACTAACGATCAATACATATATTATTTACCTTTTATTAAAAGGAGCATCTAGTAGAAGATATCTTAGGACAGTTTGAATGTGATAGTTTAGCTAATATGTTAGATTTTCTGAGTAAAGAATTGGATCGTCTAATCGAAGAGCGACGTATACATGCATTAGTACTAATAGCAGAACGTCAACGTCGTATACGAGAAGCGGAAGAATGTGGTACACGTCAAAAAGAAGAGCGCAGAAGGAGAGAACAAGATGAAATTTTCAAACAGGTAAACGATTTTAACTAGATTTTAAGTAACCCTGATTTTTATCATTCATGATGTAGCCAGTTTATTTATCCACTTATTATAGGTAAAATCAACCTATTATGCAGACCATTGAATCATTTAATACGGTTTATAGTTAGATGTTTTACCTCATTGATTTACATAGTATTATGACAATTTTAACTTTTTTGAATTCTGTCTAACCAGAACTGGAGAGAAGAACGTTGTTCTCATAAATTTGTAGCGTAGTGAAACATGGTTGACTAAAGATTGTACAGTTGAGCGATTTACACAAAACTATTTCTTTAACAGATAATACTGAATTTTTTTTAGATAAAAACCAAGTATTTATGAGCTCTTTAAACAGTTTGAAACATAAAAATATCTGGTAAAATGTGAATACTTTAAAGTTTCGTAAGTGCTATTTAACTTATCATAGTATCAAATTCTCTGAAGCTATTTACAATCAATTCCGTTACATAATAACTGATATATGCAGCATCTAAACCTCTAACTAGAATCATCCAGAAACCTCCTCCTTCACAATAGGTAATAAGTATTTTATACTGTATATACGGTTTCTCTCAAAATATGTTCTCAAACTGTCGTCTGAACCATTTATTCTGTTTACAAATTCAAATTTTAAGTAACGGTAAAAAGCTAAAAAATGAAACACAGCTCTTTATCCTATTTGGCGTTTTTAATTAACTATTGTCCATGTCCCCATACTTCATATCAGTACATCCAAATAAGGTAAATAATAAGTTAACGAAGTAATGCAATGAAAAGGTAGTGGAAAATGAGAGAAAATGACTTATATTTTGAAAATAGTGAATGAAATTGAGTAGTGAGAACTGCGGAACAATACAAATGAAGATTTTGACCATGTAAATGAGTGGATAAATTTTCCACTTAATGTCTGCATTCATAGATTACGGCTACTTTGGGAACTGCAACCAGAAAACTGAATCTTCTCACACGGCTAAGTATAACGTTCGGAGACTGAATGATATTGATTTAGCCACTATTTTAGGTTATCTAGAACAAAACGACAAGTTGGATGAAAAAACGCTCGGTTTTTTCCTTTACACAAATGGAACGTTAATTTACCTTAGTCGAATATCTATATTAGATACCGTCCTAGTGTATATTCTACAGGACATCAATACAACTCGGATCAAGAACATGTGATTGGAATGACTAGAACATAAGTATATTACCACACCAACAACCGATAATAATAATAATAATAATAATAATAATAATAATAATAATAATAATAATAATAATAATAATAATAAAGGGTGGAAAAATATGTCACTCATCTAATATCAGTCAGATTATTTACTAATCTCACTAGGTAAACAACCAGACATGAGTTACATGTTCAAACTATCTTCAATGATAAAGGATCATAACTTCAGTTACCAATTTATCATTTCTACTTAGACTTATTGATTTACTTTAGTAATGCTGGGGAGACATATGGAATAGTAAGTTCATCCACTCTATAAAGTTTACTATTTGAGCCCTATCGATCGAGACAGGCAATCCCACCATTAAATTAAATGGTAAAACAAAACTATACCTGGTTGTTATATATCTTAAGACATTGTTATATCCTAGCGAAGAATTAATTACGAGTAACTTATTCCTGTTGTATAACTATTCAGTAACTAGATTATGTATATCTATATTCCTCTGATTATAAGCTTCATTTAGACCTATAGATTATCATCATACGATTTACTATTCTTAAGTTATGTCCAGTTTATTGATTATTGAAGCTTATAATAAGAAGAATATAGATATACATAATCTAGTTACTGAATAGTTATCCAATAGGGATATATATAATATTAACCAATTAATAGTTCTCAGAATTTACCAGTAATTTATTCTTCGCTAGGATACAACGCATATCATGAAGTTTACACTAATTTACCTTCCCTAGAAAATTTAAATACATTTCCGTAACAGTCATATTTTAAAGAACTTGTGTATTTTTTAACTGCACTTTAATCCACCAAGTTATCACTTTTCAGGTATTTTTCAATACATCATTAGTTAACGTTTTTTTACTATTTAGCTTGTTAAGGTACACGAAGATACAGTTGATAGTTATCTGATAAATATTGCTGGCTTAGCTGTAAATAGTGCAGCTGATTACTTAGCTAAGGAAGAAATTTCGACATTAGCTCAAAAAATTGAACAAGCTAATCTCTATGAATTAAATCGTGGTGAATTAGAAACAAATGAATTAGCTGCTGAATTAATACATAATTTCTTAATACCGTTTGTAAGTTGTATGATATTAACTGTTTTGAAAAAAAATGTTTGTCTTTCTTTAAATGATAGTTTTTTTTTGTTGGCTGGCATCAAATGGAAAATCACTAAAACCAGGAAGCATTGGCAGTGGTTCTCATTTTTTAGACCCGTCAACATTACCCAGTCATTACCCCCCCTCACATGAGATTGAACCCAAAACATTAGGATCTCTTAGCATACATAATGCCTTAAAACCACTCAGTCACTGGTTCACATGTCAGACTCTATTCAGTCAACAATAAAGTTGAGATTGTAAACCGTTAAAGGTCGATTCAGGAATCTTATAGCAACAGGTTTGTTAGAAAATCTGAAGTTTTTAAGTTAAACTTCACAGCTGGTAATTAGTTCACCGGTTGATGTCATTTCATAATGAAGATTATTTTTAGAAATTAATTAATCTCCATAAAACGCAGCTGAACAAAAATGTTTTTAGTGTAAAGATTTTGTGGAAACCTGTCTAATTTGTTGGTGATCTTCTTCAAAGATTGACGATAGTTGAATGTAATCATAAACTTAATATTTTTATACTTCAAGATGAGTTTTTGAACTTCTGGTGAAAAATCATAATCACTGAACTTTAGCTATTTCATATATAAGACTGTCTTCACTATTGGCTATAGATGGATGACATGGTGTGATTCGAATTGCGTGAAATCGGAATTTAATGTTTATTTGATGATAAACTAATGGTCCGCTGGTTACATACTCTCAAGGAACCCCGAAGATCTCAGGCCCTATCTCTGGTGTAGTCTGATCATCACTGATGAGGAATCTCATGCTAGAAAAGAACAATGCTCCTGTTTTGAATGTTATCTTCAACTGATTTTCTGTTTATACCTAAATAAATAATTACGAAAACAAGATTCTACTTAAGGTAGCTTGAAAAAGATGAATCAACTGAAGAGTTGTTAGAAATTAGTCTGTATTGAGAACTATCTAATATTATTGATCTCAGCACTCTGTCTCACAAAGGAGGCCTACAGCATCACTTACTTACTCAATTCTGTTGCCTTTCTTGAAGCAGCATAGGTCGCCCATCAGCGTTCTCCATCCAACTCTGTCCTGGGCAACCACGGGGACCATTTGATGTTTTTACTTCACATGATTGAGAATCAGTGTCAGCGCTCTAATTTCCGTAAATTTGTAACATATAGCAAAAAACTTCATACTAGAATCGATGGAAATTCGTCTCCACACTTAATTTTGTTGACTCTACAAGTTAATTTTTATTATCACTTTCAGAATAAGTACATAAAATTCTCTAGTTGTCAATACCAAGGTTGAACTTGATAGTCTAAAGTAAATTGAGCATTAGGTAGAAAGTTATTAAGGATAAAATAATTATACTAAAAACGCAAAGAGATCTCTTTTTAGCGAATTTATTATCAAGCTGTACAGTCGTTTATCTGTATGAAGTTTTTTGTTAAAGTGTTATGTCCCGATAAGCATAATGAATGGTAACTTTCGCGATCCATTTATGGATCAATACTATGCGTATATTTTTATCGTATAATTGTTAAATAACTAAACTGTTCATATTCATTTCCCTCTTATTATAAGCTTTATTTTAACCTACGAACTATTATTATACGATTTACCATTCTTGAATTATGCCCTGGCCATTAATTACTACCTCCCGCATTCACAGCCACATTTGGCCAAATCTTGTATAAATGTTGTTTCCTATTTTATTGGTACGATGTGGTCTGTCTGGTTGCTAAATAAACCGAGTATGTTTGAAATAAATGATTCATATTGCAGAGGCTGAGATTGGTGTTCTGGACTTAACTGGGTGGGCTAGGCAGGAAGCAGGACCGATAAGTACTCTAGACCGCTCGTACGTGTTTTATGCGCATGCGTCACTGGTCCGATCGATAATTCACTGCTCCATAATTGGCGGTCAGTGGTATAACACAAAGTATTATTTCCGTGAGGGCAAATGAACAATGAATAAACATGATGATGTAATAAATAGATTGCGTAATATGAATAATAACAATTACCGATTGTGTGTACAAATAGGAAAACCTTGTAAAATTCATAAGTTAGCAACGGATGATAATGTGGATGATGTAAGTTGATTAAAATATCCAGTTCTTCCAGGCTTTCAATGATGTTGTAGCTTAAATCGTTCTACCTTTTTGTGCGAAATGTAGAGCTCCCTATTCTTCTTTGGAAACATTTAATGGGAAGCATTTGTGTTTTGGCAAAATTCGAGATGATTTTTAACGTAATATGTGTGACTAATTTTCTGGTATCTGTTCGAATACCAGTTCAGGAATTGGAGCAATTTCTAGAGTATTGAGAGATTTTCTATGTAAATCAAAATGTGATCCTGTTTCTAGTAGACCTATTTCGCGAGTACTAATAGGTCTGTTTGAAAGATTACGAACCACCCTCAGATCATGAGAAGTAGATTTCTTCAGTAATTTTGACTGAATTAGATATTCTAATTTGTTTTCTCTATACTACTTAGACTTGTGTTAATTGATTTACATTATTTATCCATTTACTCTGAATCAGTGAATTAGATTAAGTCACGGAACGTCAGAAATGCAAATTTCTACTCATTGGGATATCACAAAAATATAATTATTTTATCATTATAAAAGTTTCTGTTTTGACAATATAACATGAACGAAAGAATCGATCATTACTAAGCTGTATAAAATAGAAATCGATAGATTTAACTATTACTGAAATCATGAACTGATCTCATTTGGTCAATCGATGTAAATTTAAAATCATGGAACGGCCGTTTCGTCATAGTATTGAACTCAGCAGTGCACGTCTACGACCTCGCACGTGGGAGTCGAACGCAAGACCTTCAGTCTCGCGCGCGAACACTTAACCTCCAAACCACCGAGCAAAAATTCAGTGGTGTATCGGTCTAACTTCAATCAAGCCACGGTATTGCACGACTATCCAATGCTTTCAGGTTTTCAATCCTTGTCTAACTTAGGTCTGTCTGTAATTTTAATGATACTCAATAACCTTCATAAAACCCTGCTGAAGATTTATCTTTGTACGTCGTATAAATCAATATATGAATTATATGTTTTCAGTAATTTTTGGCTATATTGTGCAAAATGAACACTTACTCATCCGACATTGTCGTTTATTCGTGACATGTCGATTTCTCTTTCTTTATTACACATGGATAATCGTTTGAAGACTTTTAATAAAAATAATTTAGACCCCTAATAAACAATCACGAACTATCTCGAATTTACATATATCTGTTATTGTCATGAGAATTTATTACCGGACGAATTAAACTCTACAACCTAGCTTATTGGACAGAAATTATTGAAGTTGAAGTGTAGTTCACTGCAAGTGTCCTATCGATAAATATTTCTTCCCAACCTACCATTTGTATCTCGTTTCATTCCAAGGTCTACAAACTGAAGCATCTTGTCATGTTCATGTTCCACTGTAAATCGGGTAATTGCGTGTGGCATGTTGATAATCATCACAGGCCACAAATGCACATTCAATTTACCTGACGTACAATGTTTTGTCATTGATTACTAATTTCGTTGCCGTCTTTCATAGGTTTTACGTACCTCAGTGGGCTACCCATAAACAACTCTATTAATACGAAAATATCAGACATTATTGAATTAAAAGTGGTTATCTTTGGTAAATATTTATAGAAGCTACCTAAATTCATCTTCTGTTAGGAGGTTAAGTCAGAGTATTGACATGTTATTTGCATGGGTTATTCTATCGAGATGCTAGTAAATAACAGTGATAAATAAAATAAAGCCATGAATTTATCGAAGATTTCAATATTTTCTAGTCATTGAATAAATTATAAAGTGTCTATCAAGCTTTGAACAGATAAATTTAAACGAATCAGTCCTAAATAATGGGCTAATCAGTGGGTGAGATTGTGAAATGAATTGATAATAGTGGTCAGAAAAAAAATTAGGTTTATGTATTCTTGGTATGGATTTTGTGAGTGTATCTTGGGATATGGAATTTAAATAAAAACAAAAGTATTCTCAGTTCTATTCAAGTTAAAACTTCATAAGTTGCAGATAAATTTCCCAGGAATGTCTACACGTAGTTGGTCTTGAAAAAGGACTTTTGATAATATCTTTTCACTTTCTATAAGCTTTTGACGCAACCTCTCGGAGGAAATAGTAAAATTCACCGCACAATATTGACTTCTTCAACGACTTGATTTGGATCAGAAGCTCTGGTTCTTAGTTTACATACTAGGTCTGTTGCAGCTTCAACATAAGATTTTTCATTGGTGGAGGTAATGCTCATCAGCTCAACGTTCTCATTTTCTAACACTGACATCTGGTATAGTTTTTCCTTATTTACTGCTCTTTTCATTATTCTTTTATATAGTACCTACAATGATTTTTAATGTATAATTCTATTGTGTTTAGGCTATAAGCAGCTGATAAAAAAACTGTGAACTATTATTAATTTATGTCATTCTGTTACGTTAGTTATCCTTCCTTTAATGAGATTCGGAAAAATGTATCGATAATTATTTATAAATGTTTCTAGGTAAACAAAAGTTCACATGAGTTACATGAGGAACGACGGAAACGCAAATATTTAAATGGTGCACATCGTGAAATATGGGGTCCATCACACGATGCTTCTAGAAATGTATCCGACTCAACTGGTCTACAATTAAAACATCATGATACAACAACCTCGACACCAAATGTCTGGTGGTGAAATAAGCAGAACAGTCAGTTATGCCAAATGCAAATACCATGGATAGAAAAATAAAGGAAATTAGACACACCGACTAATAACCTGGAAGTACGCTACAATGACAACAATAGTGATGATAATAATAATGTACGACAATTTTACAATTTTATTTAATCCTTAACGATTATTGTTTTCACTTAATTCTTTGGTCATAAGGAGAAATTTACCAAGCATTCAATTAATAAAACGTATATTTTCGTTCATGTAGCCATATATGATACACTCACCCTGTCAATATTATCTAAACTAGGAATATTTTGTTAAATTTAATGTGACTTTTGAGTCTATATTTATTACTTTTGGGCATTTTTAGTTCTTAGTAGTCAGACATCACGATAATTTCGAGAAATATTTTCATTTTGACAGATTTTTTAAAATTTAATAAAACGAACGTAGACAAATTATCTAATCGAATTGTTAAGATAAGCAGATTGCGTAATAATACAATTGTTAATTGAGAAGTTTTTTCAAAAACACAAGAGTAACTAAATAAAAGCCTCTGGTAAATTAAGAGGCTGTACAAACATTTCGATACACAAAGACTAAGGTTATTATTGTATACACCTATGGTTTCTACTGTATGTAAAAGACACATTATGGGAGCATAGGGTAAGTTTAACGGACTTCTATAAATAAGTGTGGCATCTAAACTTACCGACTTTGACTTAATATCCCAAAACAGAGCTTCTTACTTTTCTCTCCTTCTCCCTCGACCAAGCAAGAGTCACCTCTAGAAATATGATAATATATTTACTTGATTGTACATAAAATACAACTTCCTCCACAAGAGCAGTTGGATCGTTAAATAGATGTTATTCCTACCACCTACATTCACAGCCACATTTGGCCAAATCTTGTATAAATGTTGTTTCCTATTTTATTGGTACGATGTGGTTTGTCTGGTTGCTAAATAAACCGAGTATGTTTGAAATAAATGATTCATATTGCAGAGGCTGAGATTGGTGTTCTGGACTTAACTGGGTGGGCTAGGCAGGAAGCAGGACCGATAAGTACTCTAGACCGCTCGTACGTGTTTTATGCGCATGCGTCACTGGTCCGATCGATAATTCACTGCTCTTTATTGGCGATATCGTTACGTTATATATTAACAGGGCACACAGGCTACAATTTATAAGAGAAATCCTTTTATTATTTTATCATAGATTTGTTCACTGAATTGACGGTCTGTTGTAGAAAAACGAGATGAACAAATTTACGTAAGGGATATTGAGTAACAATACTATAAACCAATTATTACAACAGGATTGTATCATTATAAATATCAAGAGACGAATCATACAAGTAATCGGTATTTATTACAGCATTTCATACTAGCTTTCATCAAATTCCATACTATTTAATCTCACGTCGTACTATCCGAAACATTAATAGACGCTTCTGACGTAGTGTTGGTTTCCTATGGTAGTCGTTAACCAATGTACAATCATTCAAGAAATATATGCTTTCAAGTCCTTGAAAATCATGAACATCATTATTTCGACTTAGTTACATCCTCAAATATCTGTTTTTACAGCAGTAATAAATTCTAAGTAACGGTTTTATAATGACAAAGACTTCATCTTTAATTTACTAGTACAATAGTCATTCATAGTGTTAGTAAACTTCTTGCCTACTCAAGGCAAATATATAGACAATTTTAAGTATTCTTACTTACGCCTGTTACTCCCAATGGAGCGTAGGCTACCGACTAGCATTCTCCAACCCACTCTGTCCTGGGCCTTTATTTAATGCATAATGTAAAGACAATTAAGACAATTGTAAGTTTCTAATATGTATACAAAAAAGAAACGTAGAAAAATGCAAACACTATTTTAAGAAGGTAAAAAACGACAATGATAACAATAGCTATATAAAAAAGTAAAGACCCAATTGATCAAACTCTTTCAACCATGCCTGTCTGTTTGTTTCCTTTCATAGTTGATCTGTGATTATTATTATTATTTTATTAATATTATAAGCAGAAGAAAAACAAAACATGAATAAATTGGAATATTTCAACAAAATAAGTGAATAAAAATACAACAGAATTTTATTTATTCATCGTAATGTACTGTAATATCACGAAAAGAACAAATTTATATTCACCATAATAAATGCACAAACAGAAATATGAAATGCATTTTATGAAGTGATTCTGAGGGATAAAAGGTAATAATATCTAGAAAAATTACCAGTAAACCAATGTCAGTAATCTTCATCACATCAATAAATATACACACAAAGAGATAAGAGTTCATGACATTGCAATGATTAACATATCCAAATGTATCACTGTAAAGCAAATAAAGCACAGAAGAATTTCAGTTAGCTACATTAACCAGTAAGAGATCATCAGAACAAAAAGTTACTTCAGAACAACAGCTCAGGACTATCAATAAATAAATAAAATCATTAGGTAATTGCATATAGTTGGGAGGATGTCCTACGATTAAGTTTTGCGGTAGTCAACACTGGTCAGCAAGGTGATTTACAGTCTTGATGGAATTGATGCTCCTCGTCGGACTCAAGCTTGCTCCTAACTGTCTCTATTAATCTGCCATCAACTAAGGTTTGTTGTAATGTGGTGTTACTTACAGACTAACGGTTACATCAAAACTAATTTGTCACTATATAGAGATAAATCTGTGATAAGTTATTGATCTTTATAAATCTAATCAACTGCAGAGACACTGTTAAAAATAAGATTGCTAATGACAATTGTGAAGACCTAATAATTTTCGTTATTAATATTCATTACAAATAATGTTATAACCCTATGTCATTAACAGTAACTTTGTAAATGTATTGGCGAATAACCTTTAAAAGTGGTACTTATCCTGATGACTGCCACCAATTACCCATCACAATCCCACAAATGAAAATGTAGAAAACATCTAGAATATGCTAATGAGAAAGTTGATTGTATACGCCATCATTGGGTAATAAATATCTGGCGAATGTTTTTAAAAGTAAAATATGCCTATTTTTTACATGAATGTTCAGATCAAACTCTGATGCTCAACCTCAGAGCTAAAAAAAAAACACACCTTCATAAAGGAATCAAACTAAAAAACTAATTATATATGTTAAAATATTTAACACCATGTACCACTCGTTAACACTTCAGATTTGAAAATTGAGACGAACAGTATTTCTCCATAAATTTTAACGTAACTTCAAATATGAATACTCTTATCATGTTTGATTGCTAAATTTTATGAACACCCTACTATTGGTTTTAAGTGAGACATAAAAGTACCAAAAACTGAAATTAACGACAAAACCAGCGAGATGTTAAATAAATAAACTAACTTTTAACTTAAAAGATTAATGAAGTTCAATTATGTCTAGTGTAGGGTTAACAGTTACTATTTATACATAACCGAATGTCAATTTCCATATTCTGAAAAACTGTTTTCTCTTACCTTTCTTAATTACAAAGTCTTACTGCTTTACGCAATGATGGCTAGAAGTGGAATCCAAGACGCGAGTTTCGTCCTATTTGGGACTTGTCAGGTAGATGTACCTGCTTTTAGTGTTTGTAACTTAGGGGCAATATTGAGTCAATTCTCACAGGATGCATATATTACCAAAAAAGACTGATCGATTGCACATCTACACAACAATGAGAAGATCCAAGCAACCAATATATATTAAATCTTGCTATTTATTGTGTGCATACGAAAATATTTCGAGTGACACGGTTCAAGGCAGGTCGTAGTTGCACTCAGTCTATATGTGACTCGGGATCTTCACTTTAGCCTTTATCGACATTATTTGTTTCATTTGAACTCTGAACGCGTTAAGCTCTTCACTTCAGATGATATTATTTCCCATTCCAACTCACTAATTTTCCTCTCTTAGCGCTGTGTCAGATGCAGCCACTAGGACTAATTGAAATTTACGCTAGATCCTACATTGACTGATCTAATGTCCCTGTATATCACGTGACAATGATTTTTTAAGTAATCTGTTGTATTTGACTAATTGAAACCCAAAAACAATAAAGGTGTAGTCAGAGAAAACATAGCCAGTAAGTAAACGGAACTACTCAGTATTTGCCGGTTGATATAGCAAAAAGTAAGAATTCGAAGCATGCGATTTTAAAAGTAAATCACAACCAAACAATTTAATCAGAAATAATGTTAAATAAGCACTTTTAGGTTTGAAATCAAGTTCTTGTAGTATTACTTCCTTGTAAGAAGTTTCAAGATCGATATGGCACGACTGGCGAAAACATGTTACAAAATCTTTCAGTTGGTAGATATATATTAATTTAATAGTTATGGTTTTCATTTGATAATCTGATTGATTTCTAATTATTGCATTACGCATAAAACTGATTTAAGTCAGTAATGTGTGTAGAGCCCCAGTTGAATATTCATTAGGTAAAATACATCCTCCAAATAGTGTACTATTCGTGGATGGAATACAGCTTACCAGCCTCGGTGACAAGTAAGTTCCGCTTGATTACCACGACACAAAACTTAAATTAAAACTTGCTAAAGTGAGTATATTGCTTCATGGAGTAAAACAACATGAATTCCTAGTTTTGATCACTAATCGTAAGTGCCTAATTAACAAACTATGCGACCTCATTTAAACAAACTTGGTGAGTCTTATTGCTTAGACGGTAAAATGACTTACTAAACAAATTAATCTCTACGCATAAGACAATCTTTGACTACATAATTGGTGGAAACTAATTTACCTTGAAGGTGGCCACTCACATATAGTAATGAATTGCTGTTATACCATGTTAACAAAGAACTTACGTCAAAACAATGGATTCCAACCCAATGGTTTAAAAATGTGTTCAACTTTGAACTCAAGGACGACCCTTGCGAGGAATTCAAACTAGAACAAAAAAACTGCAGAATACTTTTTAGTGGCTATCTATATGACATCAGATATTGGCAACAACCATATTCAAAATAATGGATTTTATTAGCCATTAAACTGAATACAGTATAATTGAAATTAAAATACCCTGACTTTCAGCAGGAGCATTAGTTCCGTTTCCAAAAAATTTCTCAAAAGTTATATTTTAAACTAAGACAAGTAAAATGATAGAAACTTTGAGTTATTTCTAAAGGTTTTTTATCAAATGTTGACCGGAAAACAACTGCTGGCTGTGATTATCATCACTCACAACAGTGAATCACTGACCGATTTCACAGTTTGAGACTATGAAGGTTGTAGTACTAGATCAACTGAATTTTTCAGAATTCAGATAATCATCTATGTTCCACAAGTTTACTCTACCAAATAAAATTTTAAGCGATGATATAGGTCCACACTATTGGCAAACAATATTTGTTGACAAGTTTTATCCAAATTAAATTTAATTTGGATAAAACTTGTCAACAAATATTGTTTGCCAGTAGTTAATTAATGAAGTAGTCAATTAAATTCATTCGCACAATTTACCGTTTCTTTGCCACAAAGAGCAGTATTCTTCCATAACAAAGTTTATAGACTCAGCGAATACCATCAACTAATAGAGAGATATAGTGGAAATGATTGGCTATCTTTAACGAACAATTATCGTTAACTTTTTAGAGGGCTACAACGTCCAATATCGATCTTAGCTAGCAGAGTACTAACTACAGAATTAACAAAGGTAAGTTTGATAAAAAACAAAGACGCACCAGAACTCCATATCTATTATACGGCTAACAGCCTATTCGAATGTAAGGCCGAAACTGTTTAATGAGACATGGAGAAAACAGAAGTTGGTTTGATTCGATTACTGTAAAATTGATTTTTTGTAGTTTACATGAGAGAAAGCTTGACGTCTTAATTTTCTGGCAAATAACAGATACAAAGAGACTGAATTAGATCATTTGTAGTAAGAGTATCGCACAACAAAACGATTATACTTATATTACCATTTATTGGTATATAGTTGAGATAATGTGAAGAGTAATTTAGCGGGAAATAGGATGATTCCTAAGCTTAGTTTGCATAAGTAGAATCTGGCAGTTATTCTAAACTTATAATGAACATTTGCAAAGCTTCAAATATTCTGATCGTTTGAAAAAATCTGTCTTTATGAGGATACCTAGAACTATTCTCTTAAGAAAATAAAAAATCACAACTTTCATACATTGTATGTATTTTTTTTTGTTGACAATAAAACATAACATTTAATGCCCGTTTATATTCGAATAATAAAACGGTGTGGTTGATGGAGAAACTGTAGCAAGTAAGTTTGATGTTATTAAGTAACTTTAAGATATATGAATTAGCTTAGTTACTGCTAATTTCAACATTCTCAGATAAGCATGGAACCCAGTTCAAGTTTGTAAGCAATGATTTATGTGGCTATTGTAATCAATTTTAATTAATTTGAAAGAAAAGGAGTAGAAGATTCGAATGGAAGATTTTATTGTATAGAATCTTAACATCAACAAAGAATAAAACTCACTTGAGGTGAGTCAGAACAACATCATGACAGTGAAACTTGTGTTGACTTATTTTTGTGGTTTGAAGATCATCGTCTCACAAAATTAGTTTATGGACTGTCGTATGTGATACATGGAAATGAATTTAAGTTACTTATTTCTACGTTCTTTTTCTTAGTGACAGAAAATTGAGTTTACAAGCACTCATATTGCCTTAGGATACTTTCAACAATTAACAAATTTAATGAAACAAAAAACAGGATCGAATTTTGTTTTTATTGATCTCAGTATTACATTGACAGAAGCGGATTTATACGAGTGCATTTAAAAATAAAGCCCTCAAATAAAGAGTACTACGAGTCCATAATTATAATATTAACTCATCGAGCAGAACACTTGACTCCACTAATGACTTGTACATGACGGCTATTACTTATCTAAATATGCGGAAATTACCCAGACAGTTGTCTTCAGGGTAGACGTGAAAAGGTGATATTTACAAACTCATTTGCCAGCTGGAAAATTATAAAGACCGAAAATAGCAAAAGGCAGTATGAAGAAAACAATTGGGATAGCTTAAGATCCTAAAATTATTTATAGACCGATTTTAGGACCGTTAACTCTGAACTATTAAGTAAATGAATAGAAAGAATCATTATATAACTTACTTTATCTTCCATATAGTTTTATTTTCGAAGAGCAGATAGAATCAAATACTTGTAAGCGAAGTATTGTGTAATCACTATAAAATAGGAACGACAGTATCATCGACAGTTTACTGTTTACTTGACCTAGCTAAATACCATCTGATAATATCTGATACTAGACTATAACGCTTCCTTCTTCGTTTCAAGTGTGCTCGAAGAACACTACTTATCAAAGCTATGGAGCCACACCAGTTGTATTCAAAAGTCTTCACAACGTGTGGGACTGATATAATAGGAAATTAAAGACATATGTAGTCAGTACGTATTTCGATGATAGCGGATATTAAGAATTTGCATCATTACGGAAGAGTATTGAACTCAATGAATGATTAGAAGTTCGGCATTCGGTAGGAACCATTATTGGAGTAAAGGTTGGTACTGTAAATAATAGACTAATTTGAACAAAAGCATACTTCACGCTTACTGTTCCAAAGCAGGGAACGAAATAAAAGGGAAATCGGCTATATTAACTAACAGAGTCAATATTAGCAGCAAAATCTTGATAATATAATTAAGAGCAAACTAGTTGAACTGTAACGGCTAGAATATTGAGTGAAAGGAATTCCAATACATCACATACCTCAGCACAAAATATTTTTTAACAAAAAAGAACAAGTTTTAAAGCGAATTATGTTGTTATTTTAGCCAGAGGTTGAAAATGATGAATTCTAATTAACAACACAGGATGACGCGGTACAATAATACAAACACTGAAAAAATCAACTCATTTTTAAATAGAAAGGAAATTATAGAGGTTTGTGTTGTATCCTCTTTGCTTTTTTTTCATTTTCCCAGCAAAGTTAATATGAGCAGAACGCTTTGTTTAAAAAATTAATTACAATAACATTTAGCAAAATATGTTCGAATGTAAATATGTTGGAAAAAAACTGAACTAATCTTACAGGACACAAATTTTACTCGTAAAAGTGCTAATAAAATGAAGATGGATTGGGATAACCATAAGATTGGGTATGAAGATTCAAATTATTCGGCTGATGCGGTCCAAATGATTGATAATTGTAATTGTCATAAGATGAACTCCCACCGGTTATTCTCTGAGATCTACCACGGACTCCCGGATTGAATATGAGGGGGTTAGCTTGAGAATATTTGTACGCTTCAGCTACAGCACCGACTGGATGAACCTCCGTAGACATAAGATCTACAGGTTGTTGAGATTGCTGGTCAACGTTTTGACGTGCATAACTCTTAGGGTCAAGATATTGATATGAATCGCCTGAGGGAGCTTTACAACCTCGTTTTTTTCTTTTTCTCCTAGGCCAACCTGGATAAGCACTTTCTTCTGTGAACTCTTCATTTGAATCACGAACTGGTTCATTTACTTCAAATTCGGAGTGATAAGCGCCTCTTTGAACTCCATGTTCTATGAAACCAGGACCCTTACGTGATTCGTCACTGGGATATTCACGCTGCTGGATCATGCTAGGTCTGGTATGCTGTCCATAAGGGACATGCTGACTAAAGTCATTGGAAATTAGCGGTCGACTTGGCCGAAAACTATTATCTTCATAGCTCCAACTGGTAGGCTGTTTCATGCAACTGGGTGAATATGCAGCAATTGCTAAAGAAGAATGAGGCTTTATATTGTTGCGAAAAGAGTTCTTAGATTGCATATTTTGTGTATCCATAGCGCTAAGCGACTTTTGCGTTGCAGTTTGAGGCACAGAGTTTGAAGGATATGACATTAACGTATCTATGGCTTTTTGTACAATAGGGTTAGTCAAGTTTTCAGCTAATTTACTTCCAATACTAGTAGCTGTTAAATCTTGAGTTTGATGAGCCGCGTCAACTGGTACATTGGAAGAAGCAGTGTTTGTAGTTGTAGTAGAGCTAACAGGCTGAGGATAAAGCATGCTTAAAATTCTTGACTTGAGCTCAGCTGTATTTTCACTGCATGCACCGGCTAGTGGTCAATGTATATCATTCATTCATTTGTTTGTTTATAAAATAGGATATGAAGACCAATTGGATTAAAAGTAGTAGCGTGAACAATGACGTGATATATAATAATTCCACATTCACGCGATACATTTATTGTGAATCAATTAGAAAGGAAAAAACCAGGAGAGAAAAAAGATATTAGTTATATTCTCAATAAAATATATGGGTGTGATAACAAGGATAGTATCAGAAGAATAAAAGAATTAGACGTTATTTAAAGAAACTCGTGAAGTCTAGCATACGAGAGCGAATGTATCCCTAAGCGTCAGTCAGTCTATCATAATACAAAAGGACCTGTGCATAAATAGATTCACAGTCTTGTTCATAAACATAAAAAAGAGATGATAATTCGGGAACAGTCGAAAAAAACAAATATTTGTAAGTTTAACGATTATCATTTCAAATTTTTAAATTCACTACAAGCATCTACTTTTAGAAGCACGAACTCAGGTTACAATCACTCTAAAAGGAAAGTCCTATTCACCACGAAAGTATTTTTACGAAAGTGAAGGGATGAAAAATGGACATCCACGGTTCAAACTTAGTTGGTACATATAGAAGATTTACCTAGGGGAGTTGACAAACCATTGTTTAGAACCAATGGTGCGCATACGCTCCAAGATCGCGAGGAGATGAAAGACCCACAAACATATCTTTGATTCCCGGCTACCACGGGAGTGCGTTTTCCGACATTTCTTCGCCGTCCTATGGATTAGTTTCCACGACGTCATGAAAATGGTGGATTACGTCTCTTGCAGCTTGGCAAAACATTCAGCTTATAAGCACTGGGTTTATGAAGGCTCCTTACAACTTAAAGCTCATCGGACAGTAAAGTTGGTCTGTTGCCACGGTAGCATCAACCAGTTTGTTCTGTCCTCTCTAGCCGGTACCGGTTGAGCCACCTGACGAGGTGGAGACCCTCGAGAAAGTTCAAATCCTGAACCACCAAAAATCACCAGGTCCACATGACTTACCCCCAGCTCTTTCTAACAATGGTAGCAACCTTCCGGTCAGAGAACTGACTAGGTTGTTTGAGAAACAATGTATTCCATCATCTTGACGCGATTGTTGTTGTCATCTTTAGAAAGGGTTTATATCATCTATGCAACAACTATTGGGGGTAAACTCTACTTCCGATTACGTCCAAACTATTGACTGGTATATGTCGATCCATTAGGACTCTCTGGTTAGGGTCCGATAGATGATGTAACTCAGTGGCTTGAGACATTATCAGACATGGCTCAAAATAAAATCCAATGGCGATCTTGTTGTAAGGCTCTTTAAATATTAGAAGAGAGAACTTCCTTGACTGAAAGGATTCTTTCTGGTTCCATTTTTCTTAACTGAGCTCCTTTTTCTGTTATATACTGCTCTTGTTCACTTATGTATTTAGATTATACTTAGCCTCCGTCCTCCACCTCTTCGCAATCTTATTTTCTTTTTACGGGTATGTTTCAGTGAAATGAAGAATCCTGGTGGGCGGCCTATGCTCCTTCACGAGGGGTAACAGGCGCAACTAATGGCTAGGTTTATTTTGACGCCCGTCTCCACCAATTTTCAATTGTTTAAATAAAACAAATAATAATCATCTTGTCTGAATCACCGTAATGTAAATGTGATATGGCTATTGACATAGACATCATAGTGACTACAATGTCAAGATAATTTTTATAAAACTTGTCTAATGATTTAGACTTCCATTTGTTTTGTTGTGAATAGCTTTAAATATTTTGGTGGAGTTTTGTTCTCTGAGCTGGATGGTTTGGTCGTGGAGCTTTCATCGTTCTTCTGAACGACATCATCAGCACAAACTTCAGTTAGAAGTGAAGTGTTCGAATTTCTCCATATGTGTTTCACAGCTTGTTCCGTGCACCTCGATGTTGATTGGTTCTTATTGACCTTAAATTTGTCATTGTTTACTTCTTTGTTTTGGTTGTGTCTCCCATTGGTTTGATTTTCGTTCCTATATTTGTGCATGATTTTTCTAATTGGTTAGTAAATTGGATTGATTTCAATATGCACAAATATAGGAACAAAAATCAAACCAATGGGAGACACAACCAAAACAAAGAAGTAAACAATGACAAATTTAAGGTCAATAAGAACCAATCAACATCGAGGTGCACGGAACAAGCTGTGAAACACATATGGAGAAATTCGAACACTTCACTTCTAACTGAAGTTTGTGCTGATGATGTCGTTCAGAAGAACGATGAAAGCTCCACGACCAAACCATCCAGCTCAGAGAACAAAACTCCACCAAAATCATCCACCTGAGCTACAAATCTTCTTCACCATCTCAATAACTTTAAATATCTATGAAAAGGGAAATAGTAGTTTGTAAATTACCAGATTTCCTATATAAGTTTACAATCAACAACCATTTCGGATCCCGTAAATTTACCATCAAAAACATAAATAAAATGCACACAAATAATCAACAATGGATTATCAAGGACTAGTAAGTCATTAAGTTAATGTGATATTAACGAAAACTGTACGAATAAACCTTAGAAAAAATTGCATTGCTGAAAATAAAACTCAGTTTCGTAAATAATAACAATTATTATCAGTTGAGAGTAGGATATTAAATCTGCCAGGAGCCCTTACAGATTTACTGTCGGTCTTAAGCCCGGGTGAGATGGGAGAATTAGGTGTAGGGTTACCAACCCCATATTGTAAAAATAATATTTACGAAGACGTCACCCAATAAAAAATCATTTGAACCATTTGGCCTCTGCCCTGACAGCTGAAAGATTTTCATACTGAAAAGTTATGACGCATCGTGGTGAAAGCCAAGATCCTTCAGAAGCCAAAACGCTACTATCTCTTCTGATAACCAGTGTAATAAATGTAGGTACATAGAATGACCGGACAATGTGGAAGGCTGGTAGGCTAACTGATACAGCCACAACAATGAAAAGACATAAACTTGAACTGCTTGGAGTAAGTGGAACTTATTGGAAACAATCTTGGCAAAAGATAAACTTTAAGAGAGCTGTTATTGTATTCTGGTCACGTAGAAAATTCCACACACACAAGGAGTTGCATTTATGCTGTCCAAAGAAGCACAGTGAATGTTATCTAGTGTTATGTACCAATCATTGATAACAGCGAAAAGCGATAAAGGTCAGTCTATTCTAGACAAATGTCCAGAAAAACACCTGACCATTTTGATTGAAACTGAAACTTAAGAAGCACTGGACAATTGGACAAGTATCACTACGGAGTTTAGTACACAGTTTTTTCGAGATGACAAGTTAGGCGAGTTCAATGAGGATATCAGCAATAAGTTCTAAGCCTTACAAGTTCACTAGGAGAAGAGGAGGTCGCCAAAAGGCAGGCTTCCACTCGAGAACAACTATATTTTCTCCATGAGTGTCTTCGCCAGCATGTTCTACCAACAAGTGTAAGATATAGACCTTCAATCAACTGCCCGTTAGGATGGAGAATTGCCGAACAAAGTGGAAGGAAAATGGTACACCTAATGATAACGGATGCAAACTACAGGATCTGCAAATACCAACACGTCATAGAAGACCAAAAGATAAAGCTACAAAGGATGCTCACATCAAAACATTTGGAAATCCTGACAACAGCCATCGAGATATCATGCAAACGACATAGAGAACAAAGAAGAAACACCTTAAAGAAAAAACTAATCAAGATCTCAAAACCACCCAGGGAAGAAAACACAAACAACTGCGTGATCAATCTGTCAAAACAACCACTAACAAATACGGAAGAACACCTGCTCCAAAAAGGATTAAACTACAATACAAGCGACGCTTCAAAGCTGCAGTTCTTCGCAGCACTAGAGTCATCACTCAAAACTTCCGGAATCAGTGAAGAAACACAACAGGAAATAAGGCAAACTATAGTACCGATAACTCAACAGGTGAAAGAAAACAACCAACTGACTCCACAAGAACAAAAGGCCTTGAAAGAATTCAGAAATAGAAAAGATATTATCATAATACCAGCGGACAAGGGACGCACCACAGTAATCATGGACAAAGAAGAATACATCAACAAAGCCGAAGAACTACTCGGAGATAAGAGCACATACAAACTGATGGACACAAATCCCGTCAAAAAATTAGACAATCAAATCTCAAAGACTCTAAACAAGCTAATCAAAGCAGGAGAAATAACAAAACAAGACCAATGGAGAATGAAATCCAGTGGACCAGTACTCTCTCGATTCTACGGTAGACCCAAAATACACAAACCAAACATTCCACTACGTCCAATAGTAGCACTCCCCGGAACGCCAACATACAAGTTGTCAAAAGAAATTTCACGAATACTGAGACATCTAGTAGATTCAGCCAAACACTCCATCAAATCCCCAACACAATTCCTGGACCAAATTAAGGATATTCAAATCAACAACGACGAACTCATGATATCCTTCGACGTAACAGCACTGTTCACCTTAACTGAACCACAGCTAGCAAAAGAAACTATATCCCTGCTACTCAACAACGACACAAATCTCACCAAATACACGACGCTTCAAATTAAAAGTCTACTGGAACTCATCGATTTATGCCTAACAACATATTTTCAATTCAACAACAAAATCTACGAACAAACAAAAGGGACACCAATGGGATCACCAATATCAGGACTGATCGCAGAAGCAGTGATGCAAAGACTAGAAGCCACGATATTACCAGTGATCAAGCCAAAAATTTGGATTCGCCACGTAGACGACACCTTTGTCATCGTCAAAAAGGATGAACTGGAAAACACATACAAACTGATCAACAACGTTCTCAACGACATCAAGTTTACAATGGAACAGGAGTCAAACAACCAACTACCATTCTTGGATATATTGATCACTAGAACCGATACAAGAAAACTGGAAACTCGAGTATATAGGAAACCGACCCATACAGATCAAATCCTCAATTACAACAGCAACAACCCAAGAGCTCACAAAATCAACTGCGTACACACATTGTTCAAGAGGGCGAGGGCACACTGCAGCACACTGGCAGCACGAAAAAATGAAGAGAAATACCTGAAGGACATATTTCAAAAGAACGGCTACCCAATCAACTTCATCAAAAAGCACCAACGGCACACAGCATCAGAACCCAAATCAAGCACAAAAATCAACAAAAGGATCACCCTACCGTACATACAAGGAATATCAGAAACCGCAACGAGACTGCTGAAAACCTTCGGGATAGGTGTGGCACACAAACCAACAAAATCATTACAATCAATCCTATGCAAACCAAAAGATGAAATAACAAAGGAAAACAAATCAAACATCATCTACAAAATAAACTGTACCAACTGCGACAAACACTACATCGGACAAAGCGGACGCCCCCTCCACCTACGCCTACATGAACATTAATTAGCAGTCAAACGCCATGATATATCTTCACTTATATCAATACACGTGGATAACTACGGACATTCATTCGATTGGGAAAATGTAGTAATCTTAGACAGAGGAAACTCCAAAAACACCAACGAATTTTTAGAAGCTTGGCACTCAGGTAAATCAGCAATCAACAAACATTGAAATCAATCCAATTTATCAACCAATCAGGAAAATCATGCATAAATATAGGAACAAAAATCAAACCAATGGGAGACACAACCAAAACAAAGAAGTAAACAATGACAAATTTAAGGTCAATAAGAACCAATCAACATCGAGGTGCACGGAACAAGCTGTGAAACACATATGGAGAAATTCGAACACTTCACTTCTAACTGAAGTTTGTGCTGATGATGTCGTTCAGAAGAACGATGAAAGCTCCACGACCAAACCATCCAGCTCAGAGAACAAAACACCACCAAAAAGAGGAAGTCACACCAGAAAACAACTGGAAATGGACTAGGGAAGAAAAAACTTCAACATACCAGGTAGTGAGCCCAAGAAATGCCAGAAGAGCAAATTTCTGTGTACAGTCTGAGCATGATTAAAAAACAAGACAGTAGTCGACAATGATCGAACAACAGCAGAGAAATCCAAGGCACAGTCTGAATATACAGAAGCAAACAAACGAGTGAAGAGCATTTCTACAATTGGAATATGGAACTCACAACAATTGCCACCCAACACCAAAATCAAAATTTTCAACATTGACATTCAAACAACTTTGATGTATACAGCTGGAAATTGGAGAACTACTATGACCATCATTAAAAAGCTACAGGTATTTATAGACAGTTTTGTATGCAAAATACTCAGCATCCGCTGACTGGATACCATCAGCAATTTGTGGAAACCATCAAACTGCTGGTTCCTACAAATTGTGTCCTATCCAACTCCAGTATCATCTAACTGCATCGTGATGCAGAAAAAGTGGAAGGAGAATGAAGAACATATAGAGCCGGGAATTGAAAGCAAACATCGAGACAATTAAGATCACCTGGTAAAAGGTGGATAGGGGAGCTTAGGATAGTTATTTGAGGACAACTGGTCGATGGCTTTGCACATGAAGTAATAGATAGCGTTTTGTCTTGACTTTATCAACATATAATAATTTAGGCAGTAGGTAATTAAATGTACCACTTAAGTATAAGGACCGCTGGTTTACAATAAATACCATGGATAGATTAGTAGACAATTAACTTTTTATTCACAATATTACTATAGTCACTGTGTAAATGGTCCAATGAAGTATGTAACTAGAAAAACACAGGATCTAGGAATACGGAGGTGTCTGAATGTAATGTAAATCACAGTAAATAAATCAACCCCATTTATGTAAGCTTCAAATATTGCTGGTGAATTCATAAAAAACAAAAACCTCCGAAACTGATGTAAAATGTATTAATAAACAAATATTACTCTTGAAGCAACTACAAAACGTACCATCACTGTTGGCATTTCGTCGGCCTTCCAGACGACGCTTTCGCTCCTGGACAAAAACAGTGATCTCGTCTAACTCTCCAACACTTAGAACACGAGAATCAGCCAGCATATGAAGTAGGGAAGCTAAATGGCGACTAGGTGGCAAAAAATTGGCATCGTCTGGAGGAGCAGTATCAACCTCTTCTTTACTGCTTGTCGTATATGCAGAGTATTCTCGATGAAGTAGGATTAATGCATCATCCAAAGGCATATTACGATGCTCTGCTCCAGAAAGAAATGGAAAAGCACCAGGACTAATGAAAACAGATGAGTAATAATCACAGATTTTTCTCATCAATATTATTGTTCTAAGAATAAGTATTATTGGGATGACATACCATTTATTATCAAATAACGTATCGAAGTAGGATATGCCATAATTAAGCTTATTTATGCATTTAAAAGAAACAGTATACTATCATTTAAGAGCTCTGGACGATAAATCAAAAGTGAACTCTACCGGTGTATTTCATCTCACAAATAGTTAAAATGAAACTAACTTTACTATTCCTACAAGTCAATAACTGACTGAGCATATGCATAAATCTTATTTAATTAGTTTAATTATATTGAGCTTCATTGAAAACCAAAATGACTTTTTGGAGAACTCGCAATGTTGAAAATTGATTAACCTTTTAAAATCGGAAATATTGATGATCAAAGCTACACAACTCAGACTGAATAAGTAATAGAGTGAGTTCAACAAATGATTTACTTGAAATAACACAACATTGATATGTCCGGTACGTTGAACTTTTGACACAATAGCTTTCTGGACGACCTATAGACTTACAATCTTCGACACTTGAACCTCAAACAAAACTAGAAGGTGGAAGTCAGTCAGTCAGTCAGTAACAACGTAGAACTTCGTACGTACGTACATCAGTTCGAGTTGCCACACCACATTAGCACAGAGATGCACTTGTCGATTCAAATCCCGTAGTGATAGAGGTAATAAGAGTATAAGTAGTAATCGGGAAGATTAGGGTTTGGAGATGTTATTTAAAGAGTATAATCCAGTGAAAGAAATTTGGAAAGAGGAAAAAAGGGACATGAAGAATTCAGAAGATTAGAGTTTGGGAGAACACAGAGAGTGGATGCACCTGCGCCATTGCAAACGATTTTGAGCCATGTCATTCAGGGTCTCTAACCATCGGTTGCTGTCATCTCGCGGTCCCCAACCAGGTAGTCTACACCTACCAACATGACTCAGTCCACTTGTCAGTGACTTCATGGATTTGTGCCATGTTTTGGTTTGGCCGCTTTCAAGGTTAACTTAATTACAAAGAACAAGGGTAATTAGTAACCGGTAATTTCCAGAGGTTTCTGAGAGGTATAATAATATTAGTAAAAGTTCAAATGTTTGTCCAATCAGATTAGGGAGGAATGTAATGAGCTGGTTTACGGGACTTTCCAAAAATGTTAACTAGCTAAAAGTAATACTGAGCATTTCACAACGCAGAAATTTTCCTGGAAAAGCATAGATACCTAACATACGGTAATAGGATAAAAATCCCAATGCAGCAATTATGGTGATTATAAGACGTGGTCACGTCATTCAATACTCCGATGTTCCTTTGAACCTCTAATTCATGAATAGTAAGAAAACTATGCATACTTATCCTAACTAGATACTTAGTAAGTTACCTTGTTGGGTTGGAGCGTAAAGAATGCGTAATGTGCACGAGTTGTGTGCCCAATTAGTCATAGTGCAAATGATCGCGAACGGAACACCATCCTTGGTAAGGTCAGCTAGGCATGGGCTAAGATGATCTACAGACAGTAGAACTACTATATGAGTAACAGAAGGACTTCCTGGTGTAGTTAGACTTTTAGTGACACGTTGTTCTATAATTTCAGCATATGGAACAAGATCATGCTGGACGGTTATTATTGCCACCATATAAGGTGGTGATTTAACGATAGGTTTTTCAGTTGATTTGTCGGCAGGACCAAGAAGACTGGATCCATTTCTAAAAGTAAATTAACAAATAAAATCCCTAAATAAAATTCATTTCCAAAAATAAAAACTGAGACATCATTCAATACGGACTAATGATTTTAAGTCTAATTTGTTCATTTCATAAAGAAATGATTACTTGAGAGAAAATTCCAAAATATTCGAAAACCATGAACTAAGTTTCTTCATCTGGATGTTTATTCTTAATATTGATAAATGAAACGCGAAATCTTTACTACGACATGTGGTATCAGCATTGCCTGTCGATACTCTGGGAACAATGTTGGATCTGCTAGGATAGCAAACAACTGCAAGGATTAATATGAGTTACCCGAACTGTTTTTGTAATGAATACGAATATTCATGTCTACTTATTATTTATGGTGGTCAACGTTGTGTAACTAAGTGGGTATTAGACGTGCGAAATTATAGAATAAGCAATGTTGGGCATGAACAAGTTAGGGAGGCAAATCAGTCGATGAGGTTGTGAACACCTACTAATTCGAATATCATGATGTTGCACGTACTAACCAACTGTCAGTGGAAGATGCAGTCTTCGGTATGACAAGATGAACTTATGGTTATCAGACATAAACCCGAAGTCACTGACTAATAATTGGAGTGACGTACACTTCCTGATTGTTTTGAGGACGATTATTGGAGATGAAGTTGCGGTGGAGCACAAATATTCACGTCACACTTTTTTATGAATTCTGAAAATATTTATTTGGGGTTTTCATTTCTCGTTTTTATTTTCTTTTTAGCTCTTATTAATTCCGTTGCTACTATCACTTCTAGCGTATGATCTACATTGAGTATCCTGTGGCCAAAAGTTTTTTTCTGTTGGTTCTAATGTTGTTTTTTTATCTAAATGATTGTCGATAATAAAGCCAAGATACCAAGTTCTAACATCACTTTCCCAACACAACTTTTTCACTGAACTCGTGGAATAAGATAGATGAGGTGATAAAACAACAATGTAGATAAATTAAGATCAATTAAACACATCTCACAGCTTTTTGTCTCGTTCAGCAACTTCTGATAGCCAGTTTAGTGGATGAACTGTACGCCGATCAGTACGCGTTATGCTGTAATTGGAATAATCAGAACACCAACACAGTTGGCAAATAAAAATATAAGTTTAACCCCAGTAAATATTACAAACTATAAAACTCACTACCTTAATACTGAAGAAAGTAACTTACGCATTTATTGTTCACCTTTAACCAATCTCTAGATACGAGATTATTCATTACTTTTCTTTCCCTAGTTTCATTTTTTAAGCTTTTTATATTTAGCTTTTAACAACTGTAAGTAGTATTATCTTTATTTATTTTCGTTTGCCCCTATCAACATTTTTTGAGTGACAAGGAACATGGTTATTTGAACCAGGTCTTAAATTCATCCGCCTAGTATCTAAACAACTTCAGGAAGATTGTACAGCTAGAAGCTTAGCAGCCTGAGGCTAGGTTTAGTCTCTTCGGTGTACTTACTCCAGTTAAAAACAGTTGGGTATTCTTCAACGGCCCAAGCTAATTCTTTAAAAAATATATATTTATTCTATATTTCCGCTACGAAGTGAATCACTGAAATATTGATGCAATTGGTATTGTTGTTGCTATTTGACGGTCAGACTTAGCAGCTGTGTATCACAACAAACTATACACGGTACTGGATACAGAAGCACACGTGGATATCAGTATAGTGATACAAGGCATGTAGCCAATCCTCAAACTTTTCCTATATCTTTAAGGGAAGAACTTTGCAGCTCTACGGGACCATAATGTGAATAACACAACACATTACCTCGACGTGTTGAACTATGGTTCAATACAGACCGATTACGTGACATTATTTTGCATTTTTCAAACCCCAAACACATGAAAACCATTCAATTTATTTGCTAGAACTTACCAGTATTTGGTGACCAACTCTTGAAAAGTTACGTTTAGTAGATTATTCATGGCAAAGATGGACAGGATTGGCAGAGGTTAATGCCGCTGATGATTAAAACAGGATTGTATCAATTCCGATCACAATTTCTTATGAATTCTGAGGACACCGTAATAGTTGTTCATTCTTTACGTCTTAAGGCCTTTCTACTGACAGAATCAAACACTACTTTGAAGTCACAGAACAGCCAAGTGTGGGAGTCAGTTTTATGTGTTGTGCATCTGAGATCTAACTTCTATTTAGAATACAGTTATCTCGAATTTTACTGATATATGAACTGCCCTTAGAAATAGCTTCACTAACAACTTCCTCAAACAGCTCTCGATGGTGCCCTGTTTACCTACCTCATCCTCTTTGAAATCATGGGGCATCCTAATAGATTTCTCTCCCAGCTGTTATTGTTTTTCCGTCTGAATTACAGGTGAGAATATATTTATTTACTGGCCAATTGAAACGAAGTTGTTGACGTCCACGAACAGTTTCCGACATTTTAAAGTAATCCAAATGTTCATATGACAAGACAACAATGAGAAATACTCTTCAATCTAGGGAGAACTACCACGTTGCAAAACAGCATACTTAATACATGTTTCTATTATTGAAACAATAAAAAATTTCCAGAAGAATCTTCGATAGAACTCATTGTTAGTATGATAGCAAAAATATGACGATCCTTGAGAACGTAGCATAAGCAACATACTATCACTACTTGCATACGGAAATGTGGAGACAGTAGAACTCATCAGAAAAACTTACATTGGTGACCTTGAGTGTCGACGCGGTGAGATCTCACGTGAACGTTTGTTGTCCGGAGACTTAGTTCGACCTCGGAAGCGGTCACGGCGCAAGGATCCACGACTTTTATCCCGGTCACGATCACGACCAGAGATGGATCCGAAACTCCGTTGCAAATTTGTGGAAAACCGATCAATTGGTGGGCCTGCACGACGCAGCGCCTTTAAATCACCGGCTTCCACATGCTTTAGAGAGACTTTAGTGCCAAAGAGTGAAGCCCCATTTTCGCACTGAACAGCACCAGCGGCCTCGATATCCGAGTCGAACTGAACAAGCAAGCAGCGTGGATATATTACGATTTCTAGAACAAAAATGTACAGCCGGATGTGTGACAGGAACACGAAAAGGAGTATTATGATAAAAAAAGCTCATAGAGCATCCTTATGACAGGAAGAAAAAGTACGGTTAAGAAGGGAAAACCCGCCAGCAGGAGCAGCTACTAAACTACTTAGAATAAACAGGTCCTTATGGAGTAACCGGAGTCGTGACAGAATCTACGTGTCAAATAATACGAGACAACTCTCGGTTACTTATGGTAGCTCACTAAAATTGTCTAAAACTGGCAGATTATAAAGATATTGTGAAACTGTGACCATGGTCGTAATAATGACGCCAGAACCAGAAGTAACTAGTAATTGCATTTTACCCCAGTAATTATTTCAAGTGCGATGTTGCATTGGTTAACACTGATGGAACTGTATGATTTAGGTCCTTAACATAAACATTCAATCACTAACACAAACATTTCTATTTACGACCGTTTTATGATATTAGTATAAATAACCCGGTATAAGAGGTATGGTGATGAAGTTTAATCGATTGAGGTGGCTTTGTTACGTTAAGCCCCCAAATGCCCTGGTACGGCCGAGAGTGGGGAGAGTCCGCTCTCCCTTTCGAAATGCTCTCACATGGCCACGCTTATACAGCCTCTGCCAGGGAAGTCCTACTCATTGCCTTCTCGTGGCGGGGGTGTTGTTTACGAAATTGAGAGGACGAAAAGCGCATGTCTGGCGCTTTGACCGGATCCCAAACCAATGGTGCACATGGGCTCCAGTATCCTGTGGGGACAAATGGCGTATGAACCAATTGTTGGTCACCGGCTTCCATGTGACTGCATCTCCTGACGATGCTCCACTGCCTTGTGGGTCAGACCTTTAGGTCGGAGGCTCGGGGTGTGGCCCCCTAAGAAAACCACCTGCTTAGGTTTGGGAACCCGTGCAGTATCACAGCCCTCACACATATCGAATGAGATTTGTGTGGCGCATATGTATTTGGTGCCTCTTTGTACCAATATCTATGTGTTGAAATAAATTTTAAAAAATAAATGAATGTTACGTTAACCCAGCCACCACGCGCTTCATGAAGTAATGCTGATCGTCATAATAAGATAGAGAGGAAGAGGAGCCTGGACTAAGATTTAGAATAAGTTCAGGGAACTACAGAACTTAGTGTGAACAACCGCATGTGTAGATTGATTGGAGGCCACACAACAACCACAAATGGTTGGAGGTGTGGAGTGATATATCTTAGAACCAGTCAAGTATATGCATCTTAATCGCTTGTTGAAAGTCAAGCAAATAAGCTTCGAACCATCCAGTGTCAAAAGCATTGTAAAATAGTACATACGCTCTGCTCGTTGTGTCGAAACTTATTTGAGCTATAAAATATGAAGTACATACGTGTGAAAATGAATGTAAGCTGATGTCCCAGAATCCGTCCAAGAAATACACGACGTTTGGCCCATAGAACACTATCAATTAAATCTATTTAACCAACAAAGTGTGTTTCAATTCCATAAGGCTATCTTCGTTACATGGGAATTAATGCTCTCACAAACATATTTAGCAATCACTGTATCTGAAATTATGAAGAATGACAGCTTCCAGACTACCTATCTAGCCCTTGTTTAAGTGTTAGCGACTGGTCGAACAACTACATACCTCAAGAAACATATATATAGATCACTAGACTGAATACCAAATCGCTCAGATCGGATTCACATACCTGAAATGCATCCATACTTTTTTAACCAATCACGTATGTCATTGTGAGAAATAGCTCGTTTGGGCAAATCTTCGATCAATACTTTGCCAACCAGACAACTACTCCCGGTGGGACTTTTGTCCCGCGTCCCCATAAGGCCCCAAATTAGATTAGGCGGGTTACGGATTAGGCACTGAGATTATCCACCTTTTTTCAATAGCCAATAGAAATGCCGTCTCCGGAATTTCTAATATTTCAAGTGCAAATGGTGGATAGATGCTAGGTATGACTGTATGAATTTCACTGTAAGCTACACTTCAAACCCTGACCCTCACTTTATATGTTTTTCATCCTCCCTTCTCATGTAGTAGAATATCACATATTGCCATGTAATCTGTTATCCCAGTGTTTAGAAATGGTATTTGAGGGAAATATTCTTAATATGGCACACAACCTATCCCATACAATTGCGGTATCTGCCAGTATTTCGCGTCATATCTTCGACTATGTAGCAACACTTGTTCTATGTCGAATCAGTTAGAAATAAACTGAATAGGTTTTCCAGTGAAATTTAGCTACTTCCCTTGTTATTAAAGTCTTCAGAAGGTTTGAAAGATGTTTATAGTCTACTAAATCTGTTGCAAGCATAGTGAACGCAAAAACGCCACAGATATTCAGGGTTTGATAACGCTTTTGTCTCTAACACCGTTATAATAAAAGGGTTTCAACAATGTAGGGCCAGCAAAATGTCACTAAACCCTAGCCAAATCATCCGGCAGTTGGGTCATTGAATATCGAGCAAATCATCGATCCTCGTCAAGGTCACGGACAACCAACGCGCAACAGTTAATCGTATGCTATGGAATGGCCCATGCGGCAATGGTCTTACTTTCGCTTGTATCTACTTTAACTAATATATTTCTGTAATAACGTCCTCTGTGTTGTACAGTCTTCAAAGCATCTATGATACCTTGACACGTCAATGGGGTAATCCACGTAAGGTCCTTACCACGAGGTGTGACTTCGACCTTAGCTAGTTTGTCACACCATTGACGTCTAACTCTATTAGGCCTCCAATCATTTTGACATAGATCATCTACGTTGGTGATCTACAACCCAGTCGAATCAGAAGCAGGCAATAAAGGAACACAAAGATATATTTTGAAAATTGTCGGTATGTTGAGGAGCGTTTGATCTAAATGGGCCAGTAGACATAAGGGATGTAGCAGGTGAAACAGGATTCGTGCTGTGTCCTAATCAATGAAATTGGAATACTGTAACTGCCAAGCTGACATTTTGGTTGGCTCACTTTACGTCAGCACAGTAAAAGGAAACCCGTGGATTGAAACTAATAACAATAAAAATGCCGGGTGAATGACACATTCTGAGGAAACCTGTTACGAGAGAACTGGAGACATTTTTCTGATTAAAACCTTTATATTGTATATTAATAATTTCACTGTTTTTTGGATGTATTTGTTTTACTCAACTTCTGAACTTGCTTGTTTATATCACTATTTTCGGACATTTTGGTTTCTTTTGTCTTTAGTTTGGCATTTTGAAGTTTTTGCTCCGGGAACCTGCAAAAATGAAGGGCATTTGGGTCGACTCTTTGTAAACTGAGAACTTTGGTACCTAAATTGGAGTTTGGTTCTACTGTTAACTTGGGTTCGTCATTTGCAAATAGATCGATACACCGTACTTCAATAACGGGAGCGAGCAAAAAGTTGGATGTAACAAACCAATAAAATCATGAGTGGATATCACATTTATTTCTCTTTACATGATTAGTTGATCTCAACCTTTAAATATTTATCTACATTTTATATATGCACGTTAGTGTGAAGAATTAAGGTGTTGTTTAAGTTATACCTTACTATACAACTTGGCGGTCCTCAGAATCAGTGAAGCACATTAAACCTATGCTGGACAGAAGACGTTAGATTCGGAAGAGATGCTACTGTACTCTGGTCATGAAGAAGAAAATGCTCCGCAAATGCAGCGATTTGCTCTGATACTGTACGTGAAGCACTTATAGGATGGGAATCTCATGGATTCAGGATCATCAACGCATACTTCAAAACAAAGGAGGAATGAATCACAATTTATGTTATCCAGTGTTGCGTACCCACCAATAATAGCAACGACGGTGAGAGAGAGACTACAATCGATCATAGCGAAGTGCCCAAGAAAGGACCTGACCATCCTGATGGAAGACCTTAACACCAAAGTCTGAGCGGACAACACCGAGCATAGAGATATGATGAAACGTCATGGATTGGAAGAGAGACGAAGAAGGTAAAAGATTTGAATATCTATATTCATTCAACAAAACGGTTATAGGCAACACCTCATCTCCACAAAAGTATACACAGAGCAACATGGGTTTTACCTGACCATGTTTCAGAGAATCCGATAGATCAAATTTGCGTGAATAAAGTTTTCGGATGATCCATGTGAGACGGAATAACAAAGAAAGAAGCTGAAATAGCTTCAGCTCACCACCCTGTGGTCTTCAAGATGAGACTAGAGCTCATAAAGCATTTGACAACTGGAGGAACGGCATCACAAGATTTCATTGCAGCTTTCCATAGAGATTCTGACAAACCCAACAAATTTGAGATAGCTCTCAACAAAAGGTATCAAGCCTTGCAAAACCTATCATTTAAACCATGGATAGGATTCAGGAATGTAACAACACGAAAACGGAAATATACAACAGTCGAAAAAGAGCAAAGGAAGTTAGGGCTCAGGTCAAATACACAAAAGCTAACAAACGCGTGAAGAGGAGCACATGAGGCAACAGGCAGAAGTACGTGGGAGACCAAGCGATAACACAGGAAAAAGCTGCGACAGAAGGAAATACGTGACAACTGTATGATACAGCAAAGAAACTAGCAGGAAAACATAGTAAACCAGAGCGAGGAGTCAAAACACAAAGAGCGCAATCCATTCACTGGAATCTAGGACAGCGGAATGAGAGGTTGTTAAATTTTGGGCAGTTCCTGAATAGAACAACCCCACAGAACACACCGAACGTCAAAGAAGAGCCCACAAACATCCTGTAAGATGTCGGTCCACCAACAACAAGAGAAATCAGAATGGTCGTTGGACACATCAAGTGTGGGAGGACAAGAGGACATCGTCATAGTGATTCTCTTCAGAGAGTTTCAGGAAGATGGACAAATGCCGACAGACTGTGAAGAAGTATGCCTCATTTAGATACCAAAGAAAAGAGATGTGAGCGAATGTGAGAACTACAGAGGTACAATAAAACGTTTTAAACAGATCTTTGCTGAATCCTTGACTACGAGAAGGCGTTTGACAATATGGATAAAAGAACCTCGTCGAACTGTTTTCGACATTGTGGTGTCACTCTTATACGGAATTTTAATAGCAAACTGCACTGCAAAGTCCTGCATAAAGGACAGCTGACACGCATTTCAAGTATGGACCAGCATCAAACAAGAATGCTTACTCTCATCTTGTGGTTGACTGCACTACGAAGACATCTACATCTTCAAATGGTTGGTTCACATGGTTGTGGACGGAATAGAAGAAGCTTCTGATTAACGGGCTTCCGTGTCTAGTAGCAGTGGATAACCAATATCTCCAAGCAAGAGCCCAAGTATATTTGTAGAACTATAGTCTTCTATGATATTAGTACTGCGTTAATAATAGAATTAATCGCAAAATCGTAGATTTGTCACGGTATAACTGCCTAATCTTAAGATCTTAAGTGGAAGTCACGCCATCGACTACACCAACTCACTGTATCGTATCAGTTACCAATACATGATGTAAAACAAGGTTAAGCTAGAGAAGGAACAATATGTTTAATATGAATAGAAGATATAAGAGAACATTCAGAGGGACCACGCCTGCATGGCCGAGCCATGCCATCCGATCAACTCCAATTCATTCAATACATTCTTCCCGCCTTCTCCATCGTTAGGTATTTCTCCACGTTAAATATTGAATATCTGTTTTCCGAGTTGTCTCGTGTTCAGCTTTGAGGATTGTGTGGTTATGGTCCAATGCCACTACATATTAACGACAATCGAGGAAGAAAGAAATTGGTAAATTATAATAAGATGTTATCCTTAGACCTTATGAATAGGTCAAGTTTCCACTTAAAGGACTCCTGGGAAGTCGCTTGGATTAGTTCAGTCGACAGCGAATTCCAGCATTTGTTCTAACTCCGATTTCTGGGTGTTACCCCTTAGGTATGTGTTGGAACTAAGCTAAATTAGGTGTTTAAGAGGATATCCAGAAGTGTTAAGGATACTGTAAGCCATTATAAAGTTACCTCTAAGACGCCTATACTCTAATGGGTAAAGGTTGAGTGATTGGAGCCGCTCTTCATAAGGTTTGAATTTGAGTCCACGAACTGATTTCGTGTCTCGTCGTCGGATACGCTCCAAAGTGTCCTTATTTTTTGGAGTGAGGGAGGAAATACTATTTTTCCGTACTCTAAATGTGGACAAATAAAGCTGTTGAGGATTATGTGGAAAGTTCTTCAGTCAAACTGGCCAAAAATGCGCATCAATGTTATGAGTGCAAGGTTTGCTCGAAAGGCACTTCTGTCACAGTTAGCGTAGGACTTTAAATCCTAGGGTATTAGGACTACTAAAATTTGTTCGACTCGTGATACCACTTGAAAGGGGTTTTTTAAATTGTAACTGTAGTCTGCAACATGTCACAGATGAACTACTTTACACTTTGAAGTGTTAAAGGTAAGTCCGTTATCGTCTGCCCAACTTTGAAGTCAAGTCAGATCCTCCTGAAGTGCCAGTATATCCTCTTAGTGGCGTATCTCTCTCCAAAGTTTCACGTCATCAGTAAAAAGTAATAAGTCCGACGACACCTGTTGTGGAAGATCATTTATAAAAATCATGAAGAGAAGAGGTCCTAGTACTGAGCCCTTGAGGACCCCACTAGGACATTCCATAGCCTGAGATAAAGTGAAGTTGACCCTGACCTTAAAGTGTCGATTTTCCAGATATGAAAAGAGCCGACCAATTAGAGGTGGTCAGATAGCCAATCGTTTGAGCTTATTGATAAGACATATATGGTTGACCCTATCAGGTGCTCTTGAGAAATCAAGGTAAATGATATCGACCTTCCCCTTGCGATCAAGGATGCCTGTCCATTGCAGTAAAACTACAACCCGGTTCAGAAGTCTCCT